CTGTCCTGACCTTCCAAGCCCAGCTCAAATTCCTCCTGCTCTAGAAAGCCAGGTGACAACCCTTCCTCTAAACACCCATTGTTTTTACCACAAGCATGTGACTATAAGTCATCTTATGTGACACATCTAAACAAAGGAAGTTCCATGAGAGCAAGGACCATGTCTCCTAAGTGGAGGTGCTCACCACCTACATTACTCTTAGTCCAGGGCAGGTGTCACAAGGCCTTGCCCTTTCTGCTGTCTCCCCAGGTAGAGCTTCCATCCACATGGCCCTTGCTCTTTCTCCTGTGCAACCCCTAACTCCTGCTTCTCTCTTCTGCTCACACTCTCAAGGCAGACATGCCTGTGTAGCTTACCTGGGGGATGTGCAGAGCCTCCCTGTAAAACACCTGGATGTCCCAGTAGCTGAAGAGGTTGCAAACTGAGCGAAGCAACTGGAACAGCCAGAAGCCAGCAGCCAGGACCAGGAGGAAGACCAGCAGGGGGCTGGCATGAATCCTGTATGGGGTTGGACAGGTCGTGGTGGAGAAACACGGGAAGCCCAGAGAGGAGACGGTCATCTGGAGCAGTGGCAAGACCAGCAGGTCTCAAAGTGGGTCCAGGGAGGCGGATCCCCAAAGGGGCCCTTACAAGTGTCTGCAAAATCAACACTTCTTTGCAAATCACACCAATGCTTTCTGCTCTTTGAATTCTCATTCTCCTGCAAGTGTGCAATGGAGTTTTCCAGAAACCACAAGAAATTTCACATCACACTGACAGCCTAGGGAGTGTGTGCTTGCACATTCCTAGGTTTTAAAGCTGCCCTGAGGCTGAGGGTGTAGTCAGTGGTAGAGTGTTTGCCTAGCATGCCTGAACCCCTGGGTTCCAGCCCCAGAACTACAAAAATAAAGTTAAAGTCCTCTGCTTAAACTTCTAATAAGGTAAACATACATAAATATGAATCTCTTAATCATCATCTACTTGAGCTACTCCATCAACTTGAAATGTGTTTTAAAATACACTTAGTCCTGAGACCAAAAATTTTGGGAACTGCTCATCTAAACCATCTTGTCATCTTGACCTAGCCACAGTGTTCACCAGCTGTCACTCACCTCTCTGCACACTGGGCTGAGGATAGGATGGCATCTGACAAGCTCACTTTGCTGTGGAATGGCCCAGGCCTTGTGCGGTTATTTGGTTGGTTGGCAAAGAGAACATTGTAATCCACACATCGAAGAAGGAAGGTTGTGAAGCCGACAATGAAAATGAACTGTCTGTGAAAGGTAGGGGGGGGGGTGGGACTGTGATGAGCCTGAGGGCAGGTGGGCTTCTGCCCCGCCCACCACTAGGTGGGACACACACACACACACACACACACACAGCAGAGCCAGGGCCTGCTGGGGGCAAGCCTGGGCTGGGCTGGGAGCAACAGGCATTATGGAGGAAGCAGAAGATAATGCTCGGGGCCAGGGTCAGCTTCTCACCCCAGCTGGAAGACATCCTCCAGCAGGATGCAGGCAAAGCCACTTCGCTGGCGGTAGCTATAGATGTGGCAGTGGTGTTAAAGACACCTGAGGCACAATGCAATGGGCTCTTCTTGAGGACCCTCCCCTCCCACAACCCTTCCCCACCCAAGGGACCCACTCCCTCCGTGCTTCCTCTGAAGACCAATACAAAGGATATCTTGGTGAAGAAGCTGTCCAGGTTCTGAATGTGGTGCCAGGAGCCTAGGCAGGAAGCACAGCACATCAGGACTGAGCGCTGACCCCTGAGCAATCAGCTCTCCACACCCTCAACTCATGCCAGAGGCCCACAGGGCTGAGCCATGAAGTTCCTAGTCCCCCCACCTATTCCCTGCCACACACTCACCCCGAAGCCCTTCAGGCACATGAAGTAGGGGCTGCTGCTCCTCCCCTTGGAGGGGTGAGTCTTGGGACCCCTCAGGGTCACAGTCCTCCAGCCGCTCATAATCCTGCTCAGGGATCAGAGGGCCTATCCGCAGCCCAGGAGGGTCCTGGGGGCACCGGCATGAGGGAGGGGGAGTGACAGAGGCCAGGGGTGGGGTGGAGTGGGATCCCCAGGAGGAGGAAGCAGATGCGGGTGTCGATGCAGGTCTTGCCTGTGTTGGGGGGGTAGCTGGGATGGGGAGGGCACTGTGGCCAGGCTGAGAGGCCTCTGTCCCCTGCAGCACTGGGCAGGAGGACCCCAGGGCAGGAGGGAATGGTGAGGAGGAGGAGCTTCTTGTACGAGGGGTAGGGGACAGAGAGAAGAAGGAGACCCTCCCTCCCCCAGGTCTTCGACGCGGAGGAGTAGGGGGCAGCAGGGGCACGGGGAGCAGGGGCACTGAGCCAGGCCCCAGCTCTCCCCAGTGCCCCAGCCGCCCCCTGCTCCCCCCCCAGCCCATTCGGCTCACCATCAGGCTGCGGCTTCTCTTCTCCTGAGGTTGGAGGGATGGGGCTGTGGCTCTTCCCACAGAGATCTATAGAAGTGAGCAGGGACTTCAACCAGGACAATGACAACAACAGTACCAGGTGACTCAGGCTGGGCAGGCCTCGGGCGTCCCAGCTCTCAGTCACCTGTGTGATCACTCACACCCCTTGCAGGGCAACCTGGGGCCAATCCTCTCAGGGCCCAGCCCCCATACCTGGGAGAGGTGCCAACTTGGAAGGCAGGGACTGGGCATGCACTGGGACAAGAAGACAGTCTCCATCTTCAGACCTTGAAGGGGCTAGAGGTAAAGAAAAGAGAGCCACCAAAACAACAAAGCAATAAAGTGGAATCTCATTAAATGATTGTAGGACTTTGAAGCCAAGATGTCAAATCTTCCTTTTTTCCCCTCAGTGCTGGGGATCAAACCCAGGCACTAACACGTGCTGCTAGGCAAGCGCTGTACCACTAAGCTATCTCCCCAGGCCAAATCTTCCATTTCTTAAAATCATATCTCCTCCCTCTACGCCCACCTACAGTTATCAATAGGAAAATGCTTTAAGAAAAAAAAAAAAAAGAAAATGGTTTTATTTGCCTGAGGGTGCTAAATAAAGGAAGAGGGGAGACAGCCTGAGTTTGCAGCCAGATGGGGGGAAAGCAAGAAGAGGAAGGAAGTGAAGGAAGGGATGGAACGGCAGCTATCTTGGATTTGAAAAGTAGTGTGGGGAGCTTGGAAGTACCATTATGTTTATTCCCTATCCTCTTGAACCCTAATGCCCTCTGATTCAAGTACTGATCCAGTTTCTAGGGCCTGAGCAATTTAAGGGCTAAATTGGCTTCAGAAGGCAGCTAGAAGGATAATTTGGGGACCCAGGAAAGAGCTGCCTGAGTGGGGTTCTTGTGGTAACCTCAGCAAGGAAGAGGAGGCCCAGGCAGCTCGTCTGGTGGCTTGCCCAACGCCATTCCTGAGGCCCTGAATCACCAGGTGTCCTACTGAAGCCCATGCCTAGGATGCTGACTCAGCCAGCAGATGCCAGGCCCCCAGGGTCAGGCCCAAGGCCTGAGACAGGGACCAGTATCCATGACATGGAAAGGAACACAGTGGTTCCTAGATTATTTACTGGAGGAGTGTGGAGGTAATCATGGATCTGCCCACAAAGTGAGCCCAGGAGTACCTGTTTTTCTGTGTCTCCTTCTTGGGAGGGGCATTGTTACAGGACTTGGCATAGCTTTATGGCTGAGCAGGAGGCAAAGCTATGAAAACAAGACCTAACTCCTCTATAGGTGGCAAAGTGAAATCCCACATTGTAGGGGGCTAGGAAATTCTCAAAATCTTTCTGTGACACCAGTCAGGATGGGTTATGTGGGGTTTTCGTCTAGTCTGTCCCTCACCTTACTAACATCACTCACTTGGTACCACAGATATTCCATCCTACTTACATCAGGGCCCCTCCCCATAACCCCTGAACTTGTCAGCCCAAGCTCAAACTAACCCGACTGGGTTCTACTCTAAATTCACCCACTGATCTTCCTACCACCATCCTCAATTCAAGTCAGTTGCAGGGTGTGGTGGTGCATGCTTGGAATCCCAGCAACTCAGGAGGCTGAGGCAGGAGGAACACAAGTTCCAGGCCAGCCTCAGCAACGTGAAAACTTGTCTCAAAATTTAAAAAAATAGAGAAAAAAAGAAGGGCTGGGGGTGTAATTCAGTTAAATTCCAGACCACACACAAATAAATAAAGGGGGTGGTAGAGGGCCCCTGGGTTCAATCCCCAATGGTGGGAGATATAAAGTCAATTTATTACAGAGGGCACTTTTTCCTGCCAGGTATTTGGAGGGGAAGGGAACAGAATGAGTCAGAGCCACTAACCAACAAGAAGTCACACCCCCAGTGGGAGGAGCAAATATGCAAACAAATAATTACAGCTCTGTTAAAACAGAGGTGCAGTGCTGTTCCCAGTGCGATTGGATCCTCAGCAAGTCGCTCAGACCCGGCTGTTTGGGAGATGGGTCTGATAAACTTCAGGACCTCCATACTAGAAGTTCTCAATAACTGAGAAGAAGGAGTGTCCCAGGGGATGCCACACGTGGGGAAACATTTGCATTTTATTTTTTTATTTGAGATAGTCATCACTTAGTTGCCAAGGTTGTCCTCGAATTTGCGATCTTCCTTCCTCAGCCTCCTGAGTAACAGGGATTCCAGGCGTGCGCCACCGCATCTCGCTCCCCGCCCCCAGCCCGCCCCACTCCAGAACCAGCGCTGTACACTCCCTAGAGACCCCAGGACATCTGGACGGGAGACATCTGGAGATCTTCAGGAATATCCATAGGAAAACCGCCCGAGGTCAGCTGACACGTTACTCTGCACATCACCCAGGTGGGAGGACCGGCCTCCCTACCACACACCCAGCGGACTAGAGCCAGGGGCACGAGGCAGAGCCCTTTCCCACTCGGCCCCGCCCACGGCTGGGAGGCGGGCTATTAGACGACCCTATCCAATCACAGTTCCAGAAGGAAGAGGGCGGTCATCGTTTGCTCCAATCATAGCTTGCAGTAAAATTGATGTCTCTTTCCACCAGTCAGCGCCGAGGCGCGAGGAGGCTGTCGGGATGGGGGCTGGAGCCAACATGGAGACCTCGGTGGGATAAGGGTGAAACTGTTGTTGCCGGCTGCTCCGGTCTTCCTGCCCCAGCATGTTGGTGCACTTATTTCGGGTCGGGATTCGGGGCGGCCCTGTCCCAGGCAGGTCGCTACCATCCTTTCGATTCCAGACTTTCTCGGCCGTCAGGTAAAAGGGGAGAAAGCTGCTTGGAGCGCGAGCCATTGACAGGCCGGCGGGGCGTGGGGAGCGCCGGGAGATGGAGTCCCCGGGCTCGCGCGGAGCCTGCTGGGAGTTGTAGGCTGTGCGGCCAGAGGCGGAATATCACTCCCCTGGGAGTTGGCCTCAATTATTGATAGCTTCTGTCCCGGTGCCAGCAGGAGGCTCCTCACGCCTGCGTCTGCGCGTCGGCTGAACGTAGCCGGCTCCGGGTCAGTGACCACGCCCCTGTCGCACTGCCCACCAGGGGGCGCCACTCCTAGCCCCCGTTCTCCCTGTCCGAATTAATCTGGCAATTTGGACAAAAATAGTTGTTAGAGTCGAGATGTTTCTAAGATTCAGAGTGAGCCGATCGAAAGTGGTTCCTGGAGCTGGAGGCGTTCAGCAGGAATCAGGGGTCTACCTGTAACTCGTTCTTGGTCAAACACTCCATAGGCGTTGGTCCAGAGAGAGGGGTGGGTGGGAAATAAGCAATGATTTGGAAACTACATCTTGCATGTAAATGCTTTGTGAGGAGGCACTGATGCCCTCCATCCTGCAGTGAATAACCTGAGGGTGGAACAGCAAAAAGATCGCCAAGGGCTGCCCTTGGAGCTGTGTCATCTGGAAAGTTCATCTGATTGATGCAGGGAGTGCAAGAGCCCCCGCTAGCTAGCGCTGGAAGTACTGGTGCTGGGAAGCAACCCACCGAGTCTTGGCAACTGTGGAGCCCTTCGTAGAGTCTGGAGAAGACGAGAGAAGCTGAAAGTAGCCATGATAAATTACTAAACAGTTTGAAAACAGTCTGTGGGAAAGAGTAAGGGTGTTGGTATTATCTAAACCAGAAGGAAACCCAAGGAAAGACATCAAAGAATATCCAAGTATATGTGAGTGCTTTAGTCAGTGATTTTCAATAGATCATGAAATGAATTTAGTAACCAGGACCATTTAAAAATGAATATAATATAACAAAATACACATTTAAAAATAACGGAAAGTATTATTTTGTGAAACCTTCCATTTTTTGTGTGGCAAACATATATATTTACTGTACTGGGTTGTTTTGGGGCATTGTACTGGATTGCAATGTAAAATGTTGCAGTGGTCAGGCCCGACAGTCCTATATTTCTAATGAGGACATGTGTGCGCACAAAAAACATTTGCTCAACATCTATTATAATTTTTTGGATTTTTGTTTTCCTGTTTCTTCCATCAGCCAATTTGGGAGTGGCGGGAGAGGGGAGCATCTAGCCCTTTCCCTCCATGCATTGTCACACATGGCACTCTAGGCCTAGGAGGGGAGATAGGGTGATGGAGTGCAATAAGCCAGAAGACTTGGGTCCCTTCCTGGTCCTGCTATGCACAGCTTGAGCATGGCACACTTGGCAGAGTAGAATGAGCCTGGATTCTGGAACCAGAACCAGAGTTCCCCTCTTGTCCTAGTGCTGCTGCCTGGGGACATCTCTGCCTCTGCCTTGTGGCGCTGCATTAGACAGACGAGGCCCCTCCTGCCTACTCCATGCCCAGTATTGTGGAGTCCCAATTTTAATTCTCAACTCACATGGATTTTTTTCATCATCAATGAGAATAAGGGCATCTCCCAGGGAGGCAAGAGGCAAAGGCAGTGGACCCTTGTCAGTGCTGCAGGGGTCATATCTGCCATCCCCACTATGAGCAACACAGTGTCCCATGCAGAGCAGGAGCTTACCTTGCTGGTAACCTCGGATCCTTACTCATGGAGGATTTCTGGACCTCACCTGCGCCCCCATGTGCTGGTCCTGGGTGCAGCCATCATGGTGAGGCTGTCCCTGCTGTTTCATACTGGGGAGAAAAAGGACCCAGGAAGGGGTTTGCAGAAGCCCTAAGCCAGAAAAGGACTGGAAAAGGAGTGCTGTAAACTAGCTGCCATTATTATGTGCCCTCCAGCCCTGACATACTGTGGTTGGGAAAGGACAGTCCTGGAGACCAGCACAGACCTGGGTTGGTGCCCTTGAAGGCTGAAGGGGCCTTACTGAAGGTGTTGCCTGGGAGACCATGCAGGGGGAAGAACACTTTTAAGGTCTGACTTATGCTCAGCCATCGCATTCCTTAGCAGTGTCACTGTGTACACTTGTCTCGGGAGCTGAGAACCTAGCATGGTGTTGCAACCTGTGGCTCCTGCTACTTGGGAGCTGAGGCAGGAGGACTGCATGAGCCCTGGAGTTCCTGGCCATTCAGGACAACATTGTGAGACCTTGTCTGAAAAATAAATCTTTAAAAACAGCCCAGAAAAAGGCAGTGTCAGGAGCTAAAAAGAAAAGGAAATTCTGCTTCTAGGAAGCTCAGCCAGAGATCAGGGATTTGTTGGTCAGTTGAAAGATGGATGACTCGGTCCTCAGCCACCAATGACCTTCTGTCCCTGCAGGTCCCCAGATGGCCGCCTTGGTACCTCCCTCCTCAGGGCCGTGTCCCAGCTGCGGTCACAGCTCCGGGCCCACCTCCCTCAAGCCCTACCAACTCTCAGCCGGAGCCCCTCTGCCTGGTGCTGGGGTGGGGGAGCCTTGCTGGGCTCTGCAGTGCTCTACAAGTACCCCCGCCTCTGCCTTGTGGCACTATGTGAGGCAGAAGAGGCCCTGCCCGCCTGCCCCTCACCCCGTGTTGTGGAGTCCCACTTTAACTGGAAGCTCTTCTGGCAGTTTCTGCGCCCCCATGTGCTGGTCCTGGGTGCAGCCATCGTGGTGAGGCTTTCCCTGCTGTTTCATACTGGGGAGAAAAAGGACCCAGGAAGGGATTTGCAGAAGCCCTAAGCCAGAGCAGGGTCAGCATTCTTTCATCAGAAGCAGCAAGTGTTGCCTTGGGGCCCCAGGGTCTGAGGACATCCAGAAGACCTTGGTAGCCTGGTTTGTAGGATAGAGGGTTGCAGTGGGGCTGGAAGCCTGGGCTTTAACTCTCAAAGAGGCACTGCTATGGGAGAGGAAGGGCAGGGTCAGGGCTGGTGAGGGAGAGTGGCCCCTCTCTCTAAGTGTCTGTCTACTCTGCCTTGCCCCCCTCTAGCTGGCATTGGGTGCAGCGCTGGTGAATGTGCAGATCCCCCTGCTCCTGGGCCAGCTGGTAGAGATCGTGGCCAAGTACACAAGGGATCATGTGGGGAGCTTCGTGTCTGAGTCCCGGAAGATAAGCACACAGCTGCTTGTCCTCTACGGCATCCAGGTACTGCAGGGGGGAGGGCCCAGGGCACAGTGAAGCCTTTCTGGGTCCTCCCTAACTGCACTGGCCTCTCTCACAGGGACTGCTGACCTTCGGGTACCTGGTATTGCTGTCCTATATTGGCGAGCGCATGGCCGTGGACATGCGGAAGGCCCTTTTCAGCTCACTGCTTCGGTACTTTAGACACAGGGTGTGGGCTAGGGTGACTGATAGCCCGGGGAGAATCTGGGGTGAGTCGCATCCTGGACCAACGTCTCCCTCCTTCCCCCCACCTGCTGCCCCTATGTCCCACCACCAGTCAAGACATTGCTTTCTTTGATGCCAAAAAGACTGGGCAGCTGGTGAGCCGACTGACAACTGATGTGCAGGAGTTTAAATCTTCCTTCAAGCTCGTCATCTCCCAGGTCAGTGCTCACCCCATGGGACTCATGAGGCCAGCCCGGTCTGGCCCAGCCCTGACTTCTGACTGGTGTTGGGTCCACAGCCAGTGCTCACTACTGTCCAGGAGGGTGTGGGTGAGAGAACACAGAAGTCTATGGCTGGGAGGTGCCGAGGCAGCGCACAGTCAGCGTAGGCTGAAATCCTCCCGGTGGGTGGGTGGCGCATGCCTCTAATCCCAGTGACACTGGAGACCGAGGCAGGAGTTCAAGGCCAGCCTCAACGGTTCAGTGATACCCTAAGCAACTTATTTTGAGACCTTTTCTCTAAATTTAAAAAAGTATAAGTAGAGCTAGGGATGTGGCTCAGTAGTAAAGCCCCTCTGGGTTCAGTTTCCAATACTAAAAAAAAAAAATCCTTCCTCCCCTAGAAAGCCTTCCTGAGGACTTGGACCAGACCCTTTCCCCGTAGGAGCAGACTCACATGGCCTGCCCATCCCCAGGGTGCCAGTCAGTCTCTGGCCAGCATTGAGCTCTTGCAGTTGCTATTTACTACACACTGACATCTTCCCGTTATCCACCCCTCCATCACTCTGGCCTCTGGGTTATGACACTGGCCCATGACTGTCAGGGGGGCATATCCCCTTGTGATTCTCGTAGTTTGATTTCTGGAACAGGAAGAGAAGCAAACATCTTTCTGGGGGAAAATGGCATAGTCCGTGCCGTTCTGACCCAGCCCTTCCTGCCTGCTGGTTGACCCCAGCTCATCCAGAGGGATTATGTTTGGTGACTGAGGAGTGCCACATGGCCTCTGGTGTCCTGGGCCTGGTGAGTGAGCATGAGTCCCATGTCCTGCTTCTGCTGCTGGATTGTCCCCCCTTCCTTCTCACAGGGGCTGCGCAGCTGCACCCAGGTGGCTGGCTGCCTGGTGTCCCTGTCCATGCTGTCCACACGCCTCACGTTGCTGCTGATGATTGCCACACCTGCCCTGATGGGCGTTGGCACCCTGATGGGCTCAGGTCTCCGCAAATTGTCTCGCCAGTGTCAGGAGCAGGTACTGGAATCCCCTGGGTGTCCCCTTAGCGTCCTCCCATTCTCTGATCTGTTCTGTCACTCCTCCTGTTTCCAACCTGACTTCCTGTGCCCCGGACTCAATGCAGGTTGCCAGAGCAACAGGCGTAGCCGATGAGGCCCTGGGCAACGTGCGGACAGTTCGCGCCTTCGCCATGGAGCCGCGGGAAGAGGAGTGAGTCCTGGAAGGGTGGAGCACAGAACCAGAGCGTCTCCCACGCACACCTACCCCTTCCCACACCCCACCCAGCTGCATCCTCCCATGCACACCTACCCCTTCCACACCCAGCCCAGCTGCGCCCTGATTGCCTGGCCTGGTTTCTCCCCAGACGCTACAGAGCAGAGCTGGAGAGCTGCCGCTGTAAGGCAGAGGAGCTGGGCACAGGCATTGCTTTGTTCCAAGGGCTTTCCAACATTGCATTCAACTGTGAGTGGGGTCTGCCTGGGGAGGGGACATGGGTTTGTGGCCAGGGGAGGAGCAGAGATAGGTGAGAGCTGCGCTCCCCTGCCATGCTCTTGGGGCATCCATCGAGCGCCTTCGTTTATCAGGTTCTCCAGCTGATGACACTTGTGGGTGACGGGAGGGTGGTGGGTGTGTTATTGCAGGACTGCCCAGAAGGGAGCATGGAGGGGGCGCCTGCCCTGCTTGTTTGCAGAGGAGGAGATCGAGGCCGAGACCACTCTGCCTAGATTCCCCCATCAGCTAGTGACTGAGCAGGGCTAGGAGTCGGGACTAACAGGCCAAATTCATTTGTTGTCACTTGCCACTTTCTTCCTCACTGTTTGTCCCCTTCCCATACAGGCATGGTCCTGGGCACCCTGTTTGTTGGGGGCTCCCTTGTGGCTGGACAGCAGCTGACAGGAGGAGACCTCATGTCCTTCCTGGTGGCCTCCCAAACGGTGCAGAGGTGAGTGAGGGCTGTTCCCATCCCTAAGATGCCCCCTGACCCCTCCAGTGCCCTGTCTGGCAAGACTCGGGGTGCCAGCATGCTCTGGGGGACTGTAGTCCAGCCCCAGGCCTGCCCAGCTCCCCACCCATGACTTTGGGCTGATGTTGGGCCCACAACCAAGGCTCAGTGACATCTGGGGGTGTGGACGTGGCGAAAGCAAGTTCGTGGAAAGGAGCACAGGCTGGAGGGTCCCAGCCCTCCAGCCGACTCACCGGCTCCATTCTCGAAGGCTGTTGGTATCTTCAGCCTTCCAGGCCACTCACAAGCATCCTTAACAGACTTTTGTGTGTGTGTGTGTGTGTGTGTGTGTATTTAGTTGTAGACGGACACGTACCTTTATTTAATTTATTTTTTTTTTATGTGTGCTGAGGGTCAAACCCAGGTCCTCACAGGTGCAAGGCGAGTGCTCTGTCGCTAAGCCACAGCCACAGCGCCCCCTTGACAGATTTTTAAAATGGTTCGTGTGGTGGAATCCACATGAGGTAGATGTCCTTGCCCTTGCCCCGTTGAGGTGCAAGCTTGTGCAGCCATCACCAGCACCCATCTCCAGAACTTTGTCATCTCACAAAAGTGAGACTGAACCCGTTGAGCGCCACTCCCCGTCCTCCCTCCCCAGCCTGGCACCCTGCTCTCTGACTCTGGCCACTCTGGGAACCTCACAGAAGTGCAGTCATGCAGCTTCCATCCTTTTTTGACTGGCTGCTTGAGCCTAGAGGGTGCGCAAGTTTCCTCACATTCTGTTTTGAAGCTGATTGGTATTCCCTGGTGGCTAGACCATCCTCCACAAGTTTTTTGGTTATTTTTTTTCCCTTGGTACTAGGAATTGAATGAACCCAGGACACTCAAGCACTGAGCCACATTCCCAGCCCTGTTTTGTATTTTATTTAGAGACAGGGTCTCGCTAAGTTGCTTAGGGCCTCACTAAGTTGCTGAAACTGGCTTTGAACTTGAGATCCTCCTGCCTCAGCCTCCTGAGCCACTCCACAAGCTTTTTAAGAGCTGCCCCCATTGTAACCATTCCCTGGGATGAGAAGTGGACCCTCTGCCCCTGCAGACCCCAACCTATGTCTTGTCATTTCTCACTGGTCTGAAACTCCCTGCTCCACTTGACCCCGTCTGCCCTGTGAGGCAGCCTGGAGCCCATCAGCCTCCTCAGCCACCAGACAAACCGCAGTCCTGCCAGGCCCTTCCCTCTCCCGGCTCAACATGAGCAGTTCCTACCGCTGCTTTCTTTGCTTTCTCCCACACATGGCCTGCACATAAATACACGTTGTGATAAATAATTAAAGAGTGAGTATGTCCTAATAAATAATTAAAGAGTGAAGACCTGCGTTATCTGCAACCACGTCACCCGAGGTCCCCCGCATTCTCCGGGCATTGGCCCCTGACTCCTTCCAGAGATGGCGCTCCTGATCTGGTGGTGCCCCTCCCTGCCTGGAGTCCTCTTTATCACTGCTCTAGGTCCACAGTTTCCTAGAGAATCCTTCAGCCCCGAGCTGAGTGCCTTGAGGGAAGTGAGGCCAAACCAGAGAAGGAGTAGGGCAGCTCCCATGCTCACCCCGGACAGAACACCCATCTTGCCCCAGATGTACATCCCACAGCACATTCCATCCTCTCCTGCAGCAGCGGGAACCCTGGCCCTGTTTCTGCTCTGTGTTCCCTGAGCCAGCCATGTTCAGACCCTCCGGTTCTGGAGAGTCTCATCCCTCCTTCACTGCTCCCTGGCGGCTTCAGGATCCAAAGATGCTCTGATTATGGGAGAGGCGGGGCTTGGGGTGTCTCCTCTGGCTCCCGTGGTTCCCAGGGCTGGCACCCCGTGCTGATTCACCTGGGGACCCATAAGAAACCCACTGGCTCCCTTAAGAAAATCAGCCCTGACCCTGCTCCCAAGGCCCCTTCCCCTTCCTAGCCTGAGGAGTCTCCTCATCTCCCCCACTGCACTGCCCAGCCAGCCATTCAGCAGGATTGTGTAATAGCCACAGGACTGCCCAGGGAGACAGTCTGTGTTGTCCCAAGGGTCCCTGCCTGCCTCTGAAGAATTGGGTCTTCAGGAAGCTGCTGTTTCCTCCCGAGTCCTGTTGGGCCGCCAAGGGCACAGGTGTCAGTGCTGGGTCCAGAGGGAGGGAGGAGCAGAGCAGTGTAGCCCCCACCTTGCACCCCATCTGAAGTGTTCTTTTGGGCAGAGATGGGGTGACGCCCAGACAGACCACAGTTGGGGCCAGGACCCACCTGGGCAGAGCACGTGGTCTGCATCCTGCGGCATCCCTGGGCGCAAGGTCATTGCACGCCTATGAGTCATGCGCGTCTTGGATTTCAGTTGCGGTGGCCCCTTTGCCAGGCTCTAATGGCTTCCAGATCTCTGTGGAGCCGTTCTTCCACCTCATCAACAGATAGCTCACTGGGTTGGCTCTTCCCTGCCAAGGCCTCCCCACTCCCTTTGGCGAGGGCTGAGCCTGACAGAGCCGTGCTCTGGAGGGCTTTGGGGCTCCTCCCACCCCCACCCCAGCACTGGTTGAAGTGAGTCCTGCAGGCCAAGAGTCCTGGGGAGTCAGTCTTTCCCCTTCCTAGGAAGGACCCTGAGTACTCTGTGGCACACACATCGTCACGGGTCGGCCAGGCCGTTCAGGGACCCGTGACTAAGACTTGACTCATCTTCTCCCAGCTCACAGCAGCCAGCCAGCCCTGTGCCCAGCCCTGGCAAGACAAAGGCCACCCACTGTCTAGACAGATAAACACACAGGCCCATCTTCTCCACATACACACCTGCAGTAGAAATTTTGCCCACAGTAAAAATTTTGTCAGGGAACTTTGGGGTCTCCCCCAAGATCCCCCTGTGGCCGGTGTCTTCTGTTTTCTTTCTCTGTGGATTCTGCTTTTTTTCCACATTTCTTTTTAACATAAGTCATTGCCTCCCCGGGAGTCTAATGTTAGATGTGACCTCCCCTCGTGGGCCATACCACCTTGATTTCTGTCAAAGGCATCTGTGTCTTCGTGGCCAAGGCCACAAGTCATGGGCTCAGCTGGGGCTTCTTCCTCGTAGACTCATGTCATCCCTCACTTTGAGCTGACTTCACCCCGTAGGCCAGGGCAGCATAGAGACTCCCAACTGAGACTCTGGGTCTTCATTCCATGTTCGTTGTTCCTGGAGCCTCCCTCTGAGGACCTAGGGTAGGCTGACAGTTGTCCTCATGCAGCCAAGGAGGGAAGCAAGGCTTGGTGACCTGTGTCACCAGATCCCAGGGTTCTTGCAGTTCCAGATGTCAGGGACCTCGCTGCACTTGACCTCAAGCCTCCTTGTCCTTCACCTCTCACTGGCTCTTGTCGCCACTTCCTCCAACCTCTCTGTCCGCAGGTCCATGGCCAACCTCTCTGTCCTGTTTGGTCAGGTGAGTGGGCGACACTGGGATATGGACTGAGTCCCATTCGTCACCTGTGGACGGGCAACTAGGTCACATCCTGGCTCCATGGCCTGCAGTGGGGGCACCATGTCCCAGACCCCAGCACCCAGGGGCATCCTTTCCTGGGAGCCCCTACTCCCTCCTTAACACAAACTCTGGATTCCTCCACAGGTAGTGCGGGGGCTCAGTGCAGGTGCCCGTGTCTTTGAATTCATGACCCTGAGCCCCTGTATCCCACTCTCGGGGGGCTGCTGCATCCCCAAGGAGCACCTCCGTGGCTCCATCACGTTCCAGAACGTCAGCTTCAGGTCAGCGGCGGTGAGCAGGCACAGGGACAGGCCTTTCTGGGCTGAAGACTGGAGGGGAGCCGGGTGGGGTGTTTGGCTGAAGGCCCCTGTGAACCAGGTGCCTCAGGAGGGAGCAGGGCCCCAAGGGACTTGGGAGCCTGCTGTGACCAGGGTTCTCTTTGACTCCCCCAGCTACCCCTGCCGCCCTGGCTTTGAGGTACTCAAGGACTTCACCCTGACGCTGCCCCCTGGCAAGATTGTGGCCCTTGTGGGCCAGTCTGGGGGAGGTAAGCAGTGCCCCCCACCCTCTGATTTTCTGTGGCAGCCACTTGGAACAGGGCTGGGAGCAAAAAAAGCAGTAAGATCCCAGCTCTCTGCCCTGGGCCGGGGGAGCTCCCACTGCCATAAGGGTCCCTCTTTCCTTGGACCTTGGCTTCCTCCCTCTCAACCCCAAACTCTCAGGAAAGACTACGGTGGCATCCCTGCTAGAGCGCTTCTACGACCCCACGGCCGGTGTGGTGATGTTGGATGGACATGACCTGCGCACCCTGGACCCCTCTTGGCTCCGGGGCCAGGTGGTGGGCTTCATCAGCCAGGTATGGGCCAGAGGCTAGTGTGGGCAGCATAGGTGGGCTCCCCTCACCAGTCCCTCCTCCCGGGCCTCCCCTTCTCAGTCCTCAAGGCCTTTCCTTCCCCCACTCTCCCTCTGCTGCCCCTTAGGAGGCCTCGACTTCTTCACCATTCCTAGTTGTCCTCTGGATCCAAGGTGTCCCTGCCCTGGACATCTGCAGCTCTGCACTGGTCTCCCAGGGCAGGGACACTTTGCTTCTGTTGACAGCAGTCTAAGCAGGCGGGCATTTTAGGATCCTGCAGCAGAGGGGCTGGGATTGCTGGGGGCCAGCACCGACCCACTAAGTGCTGGGCACTCTTCCTTTGCAGGCTGGGACAAAAAGCAGGCATCCCATGAGGGCCAGCCCCTCAGGAGAGGGCCAAATGCAATACCCTCCTGCTGCCATCACTGCCAGGCCTGCTGGCCATGCCATCCAGCCCCTTCCCACCTCTGCTTCACAGGGTTCACCCACTTCTACTTCCCCTTAATGGGCCACTGTGTTCTCACTTGATTGACCTCTGACTTTGAACTTCTGGCTCACCCTAAGTTACCCCTAAGGGATCTAGTCAAACAGAGTCTCACTGGGTAGGGTGGCACACTCCAGTGAGGCTGAGGCAGGAGGATCTCAAGTTTGAGGCCAGCTTCAGCAACTTAGTGAGACCTTAAACGATTTATCAAGACCCTGTCTCCAAACAACAAACAAAAAGGGCTGGGGATGTGGCTCAGCAGCATAAAGCACTCCTACTGGTGCAGAGTGGGAGACTTCCTGTAGACACTGTCTCTGTGTCCCCACCCCAGGAGCCAGTCCTGTTTGGAACGACCATCATGGAGAACATCCGCTTTGGAAAACTGGATGCTTCTGACGAGGAGGTATATGCAGCTGCACGGGAAGCCAATGCCCATGAGTTCATCAGCAGCTTCCCCCAGGGCTATGACACCATTGTGGGTGAGTTGGAGGATGCCTGCTGGGGTCTGCAAGGCTCCATGGTGATGAGGCTCTGTGGGGGCCGGGAAGTCTTGACCCATGTGGCTCAGCACAGCAGACCATGTGGGCTGCAGAGACAGGCAGGGCTCCGGAGGGCCAGAGCACCGGACAGGGAGTGAGAGACAGGACTCTGGCCATGCAAGTGATTCACAGAGCCTACCACATTCCAAGCCCAGAGGATGGGGGGCTCTTGCCTCATAACTGTTTCCCCCTCCTCTGGCTCCTGTTTCGTTCTTCTTTTCTTACTGTTTAAAAGTGTCTCCTCTGCCAGGTGTAGTAGTACACGCCTGTAATGCCAGTAGCTTGGGAGGCAGAGGCAGGATGATTGTGAGTTCAAAGCCAACCTCAGTAAAAGTGAGGCACTAAGCAGCTCAGTGATACCCTGTCTCTAAATAAAATACAAAATGGGGCTGGGGATGTGGCTCAGTGGACCAGTGCCCCTGAGTTCAATCTCCCATGCCGGAGTTTCTGTTCGCAACTAAAAGGCTCAATGGTCACTCCAGGTAAACTGGGCTAACTGGGCTGCGCAAAATAACCACACGAGAGACACAAATATGGGGCTGGGATTGTGGCTCAGTGATAGAGTGCTCACCTAGCACGGGCGGGACCCGGGTTTGATCCTAAGCACCACATAAAAATAAAGGCATTGTGTTGTGTCCATCTACACCTAAAAAATAAATATTAAAAAAAAAAAAAAAAGAGAGAGACACGAATACCTTTTTCTTTGGAGTCACTGTGACAGCTCCTCTAACCTTAAGGGTCTGCAGGAAGAGAGAGAGAGAGAGAGAGAGAGCATGCGCTGACCCCTTTTATTGCGCTGACTCCTTTTATTGAGAGAAGCTATTCAAATGAGGCAAGGGGTCAGGTTTCAGGGGGCTGAGTATCTTCATGATGTCCACTGTCAGCAGGTTGACTGACGTCTGGGTAGGCCACACCCAAGGGCACAGTAATGTTGTAGGGACAAACGAGGCCAGGCACCGAAGATAGTAGGAAACAGTTTTATTGGGCTGCAGCCAGGTTCAGAGGGTACAGCCTTTGCTGTAATCAATCAATCCCCTGAACCCCGAGTTCAGGGAGTTTCAGAGTTTATACCCAGCATGTAAGGGGAGGGGCTCAGAAGTTCGCAATCTGCAGAAGTTCACATAAAAGCAGCTTTTTCTTTCACTGTTCTGAGCATGTTAACTCTTCAAGGACAGCACCTGAGAAGGGGAGAGCTTCATCTCCCCTTTCTTTCCTCCCTCTGCCAGCTGTTACCATGGGCCCATTTGTAACTTATCTTAAAAATGTAGACATCTCTGTGAAGCCCAGCTCAAGGCCAGAGGCCTTGTTTGCACATTTCTACAAAGTACTATACTGGATGCGTTTGTGAAAAACTAGTAAGGGGGTGCCCAGTACCTGGAGTGCTGGTGTCTTCTCGGCCAGTGGCCAAGTAAACAGGGTGACATGAAAATAGGAAGTTTATCTACAACGGACTCTTTTGCTGACAGTCCTAAAATGAGCCATGGTGAAGCAGGCTTTTCTGTGGAGAAAGGGAGTGCCACTTCAGTAAGAGAAGGGAACACACACAAGGCACTTCCAGGGAAGATTCTATCTAAACAGGACAAGAGGTTATATTATAAAGGAACAGGTGAGCGTAGCTCCACCCACGGGGCTGTAGGGAAGACAAGCCCGGGCAAGAAGACAGTCACTCAAACCCTAGAAGAGAAGGGCAGTCTAGCAGCATGGGTGCCTGATGGCACATCGCCCAGCAGGGGAGTTAACTCAAGTTATGTGCGAGGTTGGTCTCCCACACTCCCATACCCTCCCCGCCAAAAAAGAAGCATTTATCAACATAACAGTTGGTGTCTTGTGCAGGTCTTTCTTCTGACTTCCCAGGAGAGGGCTCTGGTGGTTCAGGGGACATGCAGCAGCACAATAGCATGTGCACTGGTGGCTTGCAGCTTTAGGTGCAAGAGGTCTTCTCCTTTCCATCTCTGGGGCTCTGTTTACCGCCCCACATGCTAGATCTGCTGCAGAATGTATCAGCACCTCTCAGAATGGGAAAACTGAACTCTTGGCTCTTTAGTCTGAGCAAGCATCAGCCCCTGGGCTGAGACCTTTCTTTAGCCACCTGTCGAATTCCACCTTGCTAATCTAGCTGTGTCCACATGACTGGGCTCTGCACTGCCCTGAGTGGGGGGCCCCTGGCGTCTCTCCCTGGGTGGTCGCACTACCTTGAGTGGGAGGACCCCTGGCATCTCTCCCTGGGTGGTGCTCTCCTGTGCCTCTGAACCTGGCATGCTCCCTGCTCGTGTGGGCTTCTCAGAGCTGCCCCCTCACTAACTCAAGACCCTGCCATCACCTCACAGTTCCTTTTGGCTCACCAGCTGCCACTTCTGCTCTCTTCTGTGGCCTTCAAATGCCGCCATGCCTGGAGTCTCCTTGGATCCTAGCAGGTCCCCACAGCAGTGGAGTCCCTGAGGCCAGGACGACAGCTCAAGCTATAGCATCAGGGCAGGGCCACCTGCCTGGCCCAGAGGCCTTGCATGCTAGGAGGCTGCTGTGCTGACCACTCATGTTGGTGTGCACATGTGTACACTGCTTTCTTTGCACAGGGATGTGGGACCAGGGAGCTGACAGATGACACCCCACCCTTGGAGAGGCAGGACGAGCATTGACGTGTCAGGGACACTCTGGGGAGGGACCAGAGGGACTAGGGGGAAGTTTAGGAAGGACCCAGTGCCTCTCTGCCTGACACTCCCAAGTGTGGAGCCGAGGATCACTTCAGGCCTTCACCTTATCCTTTTCCCATGCAGGCGAGCGGGGCACAACCCTGTCTGGTGGCCAGAAGCAGCGTGTGGCCATTGCCCGTGCCCTCATCAAGCAGCCCACAGTGCTGATCCTGGATGAGGCCACCAGTGCGCTGGATGCTGAATCTGAACGGGTGGTGCAGGAGGCCCTGGACCGAGCCAGCACTGGCCGCACTGTGCTGGTCATTGCCCACCGGCTCAGCACTGTCCGTGCAGCCCACTGCATCATTGTCATGGCCAATGGACAGGTCTGGGAGGTCAGTGTGGGCCTGGGGAGTCGGGCAGTGGGTTAGGGTGGCTCTAGCCATGGATGGTGGAAAAGGCAGCATAGAGAAGCAACTCCTCTGGCCCAGCCCCATGTCCTAGAAGCAGAATCCCTACCCTTGCACAAGCCCTGGCCTCTTGAGGCATTGGTTTCTTTCTCTGTCCCCTGGCATAGAGGCTCATTAGAGGCTCATCAGAGGCTCCCAGGATTAAAAGGAAAAGTAGATCTGTTGGAGGTAGGCATGGGGCCCAGGGCAGGGCTGGCCACCCAAGGGCTGAGGGCAGAGGCTACACCAGGGACTCTGATGGGACCATTAGGAGCAGATCCTCAGAGAGCTTGTGGGCTTGGCTCATAGACTCAGTGCAGGGGAGGGGGCTAACAGGAAGAGTCAATGTACTTCCTCCGTAGTCCTGTGGAGGAGGGATGGGCACTAACAGCTGTGTCCTCAGCAATGGCAGTTCATTTCAGGTTGGACTGTGTTTTCCATGTGTCCCCAGAAGATCACTGGCTTAAGTGACCAGGAGCCCAATGACTGATAAAGGCCAGCCCTCCCAGGACTCTGAATGTGATGCTGTTGAGTGACCCTCAGGCCCTTCTTCCCCCCTTCCAGGCTGGGACCCACGAAGAGCTCCTGAAGAAGGGTGGCCTCTATGCAGAGCTCATCCGGAGGCAGGCCCTGGCCACCCCACCAACATCAGGCTCACCTCGAGAGAAGCCCAGAGGCCCTAGGAACCACTAGCACAAGTCCTGAGAATGGCCCTCTGAGGTCTGGTCGTTGCCCAGCATCAGGGACAGCTCAGCTGGGCGAGCTGTCCAGGGACTGGGCCCCTGGAGGGCCAGCATGCTAGGTGTGGCTGTGACTGCTGCCTCTCCACTCACAGTAAAGCCAGGCCCACCAGCTGGGCTGGGGGTGGTATCTCTCCCACTCACTCTCAGCCCTGCTGCCTGCCACTGCCTTCCTGCCAGAGCACAGAATCTTTGGGCTGCACATGGTGAGGCAGAATCCCCAAGGCCTTTCTGCTCTGTCCTCTCTCTGCCCCAGCTCTACCCAACAGCCTGAAGTTGTCTGGACCCTCAGCTCCAGGAAATTTTGAAAATTCAGAGTCCAAGAGTAGGCCTGGGAATCCAGACCTGAGCTCTTCCCCATTCCTGCTAGGATCTCACTTCTTCGTAAACTGGGGACTGACTCTCCCACTGGAAAGTCCCTGCTGCCTCTCCGACCCTGAGAGGAGGAGCCTCCCCTTGGTCCATCCTCCACACATCCTCCCTTCCAACCCTCTCCTCCATTACCACAGTCTTAATATCTGGATTTTACCCACCATCTCCAAGGGGACAGATGCTTAACAGGACCCACATGGGTTGGGGTAAGAGGGGTGGGACACTATTACTGTCCCTGCCCTGTGTGACTTGAGTCTTTGACCTGGTGAGACTGTGAGCCAGCCTCCTGCTTGAAGGAGACAGGGGCCTGCAGCACACCCAGCATGCTCAGTGGGCCCGTGGTGCCCACGGGGAGCAGTTGGTGCAAAGCCATGGGGAGGCTCATGGAGCACGTGGCTTGGGGCCTCACCTTGGAAGGGGATGGACAGGCCGACAGCCCTAGTGACGTGCTTATGGCCCCAAAGCTGTGAATGAGACAGTTCTGGGTCCCAGCTGGCTTCTAGGGGTCCAAGAAAGGCACTGTGAAAGGCTCTTGGACTGCAGTGGTGCCCAGAACCAAAAGCAGTCAGGACCTTATGTCCTTCTGATGCTGCAGATGCACCAGTCCTCCTCATCTACTCCCAGGGCTGGTGGCCTCCTGCCTTGATGCTGCCCTTGTCTCTTCCCACTAAGGGTCTTCCCTTGTCTAGCCATTTCCAGACTGGGACTCCACAGAGTCCCACTCTCTGAGGCATGGGGAGAGTGGGTGCCTGTGCCACCCTTCAGAACCAGCCAAGCATTTTGCATTTTTCCTGCAGCAAAGAAGTATTTCCATTTTTCAGGGGGCAGGAGCAGTGGTGTACAAATGAGGTAAAAGAGGCAGCAGTGGCTTAGGTGTGAGTGCAGGAGCCAGGTTGGGACTTGAAGCATCTGTGGGCATGGTTTAGGACCAGATACCACTATGGGGCAAGCCATCCAAAAGCCCCAGGGCCCCAACATCCTTGTTTGGTATCCTGCTTCCTGACTGATCAGAGGTTGCAGTCCAGGGAGCAAGAGTTTAGGGCTGGCTCCGGGTTGCTTGGCCACTAAACTAGAGCCTGGGCGGGGACTCGGCGTCCTAGCTGGTCCCTTCTGCTCTGCCCAACCCTAGGCCTGGTTGTTGCCTGATGCCTTCCTCACAGGGCAGGAAGCTAGACAGCTCCTGTTTCCCATCCCACCTCCAGGCCCAGGCCACCCAGCTTCAAGATGGCTCTTCCGGAATTGCCCTCCTCCCACCACCTGGAGAAGTTAGAGAAACCCCACGGCCAGGCAGATGAGCTGTGCATCTGCACTCACTGGCCTGTAAGCTCACCTTGACCTTGCTGTGCCAGCTACTCTGCAGAGATACGGTCTGGCTATGCTTGGTCTTGAAAAGTCTTTTCCAAGGGATAAATAAGATGAACTACAGTGAAGTACTTAAAAACACGGTGCAATAGCCTGGGAAAGTGGTCACATCTGTGCTACAAGCCATCATATCCACTTATCCCTTCCAAAGTATTATACTTTTCTCACGTGCCACTCAGTCCGAGATGGCCCCTGCCCCCTGAAGCCTGTGAGCCATTGCAGCATGGTGTAGCCGTATTTGGCTGGTGGAAATATGTGCTTCCTACTCAGCTGGAAGTCTGAATAAATAAATCTGGTGGCCTACAATGCTTTTTGGACAAAGATGGAATTTATTAGAAATAAATTGCAGGGGCTGGGGATTGTGGGTCAAGCGGTAGCGCGCTCGCCTGTCATGCGTGCGGCCCGGGTTCGATCCTCAGCACCACGGACAAACAAAGATGTTTTGTCCGCCGAGAACTAAAAAAAATAAATAAATATTTTTAAAAAAAAAAGAAACTGCAGTAAATTAATGGAGATAAGCCTCTGTTCTCAGATCCACAGGGAAGTGTTGAGCAGTTTCCCAATCAAGGGTAGATGAGCATTTCACTAGCAGAGAGCTTGACACTGATGAGGACCCCTGTGTGGATGCTCCCAGACCCACCCCTGCAGCTCCGAGCTGGGCCACAACGTTTCTGCTTGACCTGACCCCTTGCCTGCTGCAGGCCAGCTAGCACAGTCCTTGTGGACATCAGCTCTGAGTGTCTCTGCCCCAACTGCTGGGAGGCCCCCTGCCCGCCTCTTCTACTCTTCTTTCTAGATAGTGAGAAGAACCATTTCTGGTCAGATCGGGTGCTAGCTCTGCCCTCTCAAGGGCACACACAGCTGGTTCATGGGCATAGATTCCTTTTCTTTAGAAGAGTCCCATGCTGAACAGCCACATGCGCTCCCTCCTCTGATACTGGTGGGACTGCAAAATGGCATAATTGCCATGGGGGAATTTGGTGACATCCACCAAATTACTAACACAGTGGCCTTTTGACCCAGTGTTTCTATTTCCAGGAGTTTACATCTGTGCAATGGCATGGCCAGCAACACTGATGGGAAGACTGGAAACCCCCTATGGGCATCAGTAGGGGAGTGGTTAAATAAACAACACGATTCAATCAATGGGATTACTGGCATGTGGCCACTTCTAAAGATGGGGTTTTCCAGGTGCTAGGTATCACATGGTCTCTAGGACAGGGTCAGTGAAAAGAGACATGAAGTAATAGGGTAGCAGGTAAGCCCACAATCACTGGTAGAAGCCAGCCTCTCCAACAGGAGGGCCTGAGTATAGGGAGGTAGGATCTGATATACAGGAAAAAAGAATCCCTGAATGTGGCCCTAAAGAGCACCCTGACCATCCAGTGTAGGCTGGGATGCTGACAGCAAGGGAAGAGATCTGCCAATGTCAAACTTCCCACTACTCTCTAGTTTGGTCAACAGCCAAGTCCACTCTGAAGGAACAAATGATCCCAGGTGGGATAGTAGGAAGGCAGGAGAGGCAAAATGAGGGAGGGGCTGGACTAAGGGTCAGCGACAAACCCTCAGATCTGATGTGCAGAGGCCGCATCTGGAGGGTCCTACTGGCACTTCCAGTTCCAACTTATCTCTGGGCTCCCTTCAAGCCCTACCCAAGGCTGCTGCGGTTTCCTCCTGGCGCCTCTGGTCTCTGACAGCAACGGCACCCCCCCAGTGCTGCGCTAATGGCTCAGCCTGGGGCCCCAGGGACCTTCCCCGCCCCCCCGACTGCTCTGCTGGCCCCCTTGCCCCCCTCACTGTTGAAACCCAATCCTCTGCAGCAGTGCCAGCTCAGCACCATCTCAACTCTGCTCTGCAGCCCCTGCCTGCCTCTGTTGCCTGCGCCCTACCTGGACTTTGCTGCAGAGCCCCCAGTCCAGCGCTGAGCCCAGGGGAGCCGCCACCTGTGTCTGGGGAAGGTTTCTGGACCAGCAGGTCACCTCACCCATCCCAGCAGGCCAGTGCCTTCCTGCCTTTGGTTTTGTTGCTCTCCCTCCTCTCCTTGCCACCTCCTCCTCCCCTCTCCTCACCTGAATTCCTGGCTCCCTGAATCCTATCTCCATCCCTGCCAGTCCTCCAACCCACCCTCTCTCACTTGTTCTAAGCCCCTGGGTCACCAGCCCCAGGGACCTCTCCACGCGCCTCCTGGGTTCCAGCCATGAAGCCCCCCTCAGGGTTGGAAGAGGCCTGCCGGCCAGCCTCAGACATCCGTGTGTTCGCCAGCAGCTGCACGCTGCATGGACTTGGCCATGTCTTTGGCCCTGGTGGCCTGACCCTGCGCCGCGGGCTGTGGGCCACAGCCGTGCTCCTGTCGCTGGCAGCCTTCCTCTACCAGGTAGCTGAACGGGTGCGCTACTATGGGGAGTTCCACCATGAGACGACCCTGGATGAGTGTGAAAGCCACCGGCTCACCTTCCCAGCTGTCACTCTGTGCAACATCAACCCACTGCGCCGCTCACGCCTTACACCCAACGACCTGCACTGGGCTGGGCCCTCACTGCTGGGTCTGGACCCTGCTGAGCACACCGCCTTCCTGCGCTCCCTGGGCCGGCCCCCTGCACCACCGGGCTTCATGCCCAGTCCCACCTTTGACATGGAGCAGCTCTACGCCAGAGCTGGCCACTCCATTGAGGACATGCTGCTGGACTGCCGCTACCGAGGCCAGCCATGTGGGCCGGAGAATTTCACTGTGGTGAGTTACCCACTCTATCCAGAGACCCACATTCCCCAGCATTGCCAGCCAGGCTCTCCTGAAGTCAGAGAACTTTAGCAAGCATCCTGGCATCCCTTCCTTCTTGGGAGCCATGTCATTCTGTTCAGCCCGGGAAGGGGCCCTCCTTGGGGTCCCCTCCTCATCTCCCAATCGTCATGCACACCTAAGGGCTGACCTATAGAGACCCTACTATTGGAGAAGGAACTCTCCAGTGGACAATTCTATTCTAGGCAGAAAAGCCCTCTCTGCCAGGAGAAGGGGACTTGGACTTGCTTTCCTCTGTCTCTTCAAAGTTTTGCCAGGATGGCAACTGGTCCACTTCTTTTTCCCTGTAGGCTGTGCCCTGGGCCTTGGTGGGAGTTGGAGGCTGGAGGAGTTGCAGTGATAGATGGGTGTCTGAGAGGGCTCACCCATATGTATCTGCATTGGGGGGTCAGGGGCATCAAGAGGTGGGCTTCAGGGTTCAAGAGACCCAGAGTATGAGGAAGGGAGAGTCCCTAGGCCCATGTGCTTGTCTGGGGGGAGGGCTGCCACCCTGTCTGCACCCCCAGATCTTCACCCGGATGGGGCAGTGCTACACATTCAACTCGGGTGCCAATGGGGCAGAGCTGCTCACCACCCCCAAGGGTGGTGCCGGCAATGGGCTGGAGATCATGCTAGATGTGCAACAAGAGGAGTATCTGCCAGTGTGGAAAGACATGGGTAAGGGTCACACACACACACAGTGGGGTCTGCCAATCACATGGGTATGGAGCACATGCATTAGGACAGGTAACTGAAATGGGGTGCAAAAGCCTAGGGGATCTTGGTGTGGTGGCACACACCTGTAATTCCAGCTACTCAGGAGCTTGAGGCAGGAGGATCGCAAGTTTTGAGGCCAGCCCACACAACTTAGCAAGGCTCAAAAACAAAAGCAATAAAAAGAGGTGGGGTGGATCTTAGTGGTACAGTACTTACCTGGATCCCCAGTACTGGAACAAAGGGGAAAAGGCCAGGGAAAGGAGAGGAGGGTGGAGGTGTCAAGATGTGATTGCTGAGGCACTTCCATCCCTTATGCAAAGAGGGGCAGAACAGTTCTTCCCAGAACTGGGGAGAATGGGCTGCAGTCTCTGTCCTCAAAGACCCCTCCCTGTAGAGGAGACCCCGTTTGAGGCAGGGATCAGAGTGCAGATCCACAGCCAGGAGGAACCCCCCATCATCGACCAGCTGGGCTTCGGGGCTGCCCCCGGATATCAGACTTTTGTGTCCTGCCAAAAGCAGCAAGTATCCTCACCTGTGCCTCCCTCAAGGCTGCCAGCCCCTCCTTCGTCCTGCACCACCTCAACCCTTACAGGCAGTTCCTCAGCTTGTCCCAGGGGCTGAGCTCCAGTGACTTCTTGCATTCTCCCATAAGTCTCCTTAACCCCACCCCTCACAGCTGAGCTTCCTGCCACCGCCTTGGGGCGACTGTAGTTCCGTATCTCTGGACCCCGACTTTGAACGGGAGCTCTCGGATCCCCTGTCCCCCAGTCCCAGCCCCAGCCCCAACCCTCCCTACAGCTTAATGGGGTGTCGCCTGGTCTGCGAGACCCGCTACGTGGCTCGAAAGTGCGGCTGTCGAATGATGCATATGCCTGGTAAGGAGTAGGGTCCGTGTCCTGGGGTGGGTGGAGGCTAGGGGACACTTGGGCTCCTGAAGCTGCTTCCTTCCCCTCCCCAGGCGGCGCGCCGGTGTGCAGCCCCCAGCAGTACAAGGACTGCGCCAACCCGGCCCTGAGTAAGAGACAAGCCTCCCTCGGCCTCCAGGTCCCCGCCCCGCCCCGTCCTTGACCCCCACCCCTCTGGCCGCGGGACCCTGACTCCAGGCTCGCTGGCCCGCAGACGCCATGCTGCGGAAGGACGCGTGCGCCTGCCCCAGCCCTTGCGCCAGCACGCGCTACGCCAAGGAGCTCTCCATGGTGCGGATCCCCAGCCGCGCTGCCGCCCGCTACCTGGCTCGGAAATACAACCGCAGCGAGGCCTACATCGCGTGAGCCCCTCCAGCGAGCCAGGGTCCCGGCGGGGAGGGCGCGCGGCCCGGCCAGGCAGTCCACATCATCACGAGCTCTGTCTGGGGCTCTGGACAAACTGCCCAAGCGCTCTGACCCAGGGGCGAGGGGGTGACGTCCCTCCCAGGGTTCTTGAAAGGAGCCAGAAGCCCCACATCATTTTGCTGCCAGCGGCCGGCACCAAGGATTAGCCAGCGAACATTCAGGCCTTTCTTCCCCTCCAGGGAGAACGTGCTCATTCTGGACATCTTCTTTGAGGCCCTTAACTTTGAAACAGTGGAGCAGAAGAAAGCCTATGAAGTGTCAGAGCTGCTTGGTGTGTGCTGAATGCCCAGGGTCTGTGGAGGCGTGGGCGGGGCAAGTGGCCATAAGTTGACAGGCGCCCTGCTTCCACAGGTGACATTGGGGGTCAGATGGGGCTGTTCATCGGGGCCAGCCTGCTCACCATCCTTGAGATCCTAGACTACCTCTGTGAGGTGGGCCTGGGCCCCAGCTGGGGAAGGTGGGGAGAGGAATCTGGCCACTAGGGTCCAGGGGGAAGGTTTACCTGGCCACCTCCCCTTGCTGCTTGCCCTCAGGTGTTCCGAGACAGGGTCCTGGGGTATTTCTGGAACAGAAGACGCTCCCAGAAGCACTCCAGCACCACTCTGGTAACAGCCCCTCTTCCTTCCCTGCCACCTCCAGCAGCCTCCTCAGGCAGCCTAGGACGCTTCCCTGGTGGGAAGTGGGGGAGATATGTGCAGTGACCTTGGCTGGGCCCTACCTCTGACTCTCTTCCTCTTCCCACAGCTTCAGGAAGGGCTGGGCAGCCATGGAACCCAAGTTCCCCACTTCAATCTGGGCCCCAGGTAACACAAAATGGCCAAGTTCAAGGGAGGAGGGGCAGGACAGGTCCAGAGGGTACAGTCCAGGTCCTGAAGGGCAGGAACAAGGCATCAAGTGAAGGTCCCCTGCCCCAGTACTGTGGCCTGTCTCCCCAGGCCCCCCACCCCGCCCTGTGCTGTCACCAAGACTCTGTCTGCCTCCCACCGCTCCTGCTACCTCGTCACCCGGCTCTAGACATGCTCTGTATGACCTCGGGCCACACTTTGACATCCTGAATGCCCTGCCTGCACATCTTTGCTGTCTTCATCCCAAATAAAGCTTTAATGTTTCTGCCTCAGGTGTTCCTCTTATAGGGCAGAGGCTAGCAGGGCCAAGGTCAGCTCTTCTCAGCCCAGTAAGTCCACTGCAGTCAGCTTCAGCTAGGTATCACTTCTGTGAGGCCTGCAGAGCTGGGCCCCAATTAGCCCTCACAAACCTCTGGGAGAGGATGGTAGTAATAGGATATCAGTCATTTGCACCTCAGTGTGAATGAGTTTATCAGAAGACATCAGAGGACAGGTCTCTCCCAACCCCAGGGCTCAGGTATGATGGCCTAGAGGAGGCTCGGTCAGTAGGTACTGGCTGGGTACAGCTGCAAGAAGACTCTGACCCAGAGCCCAGGGAGAAGTGGTGAGGAGGAATGGGGATGAGAGAAGGGCTCTTCCACTTCTAAGAACACAAGCTGGTGTCTTGCCTTTGAAGGCCATGGTTCTTCTCACATTTGGGACCAAGCGTGGCACACAGCCTGTCTCCATGGGAGCAGTTCTTGCTTCCTCAACTCCCCACAGGAGAAGGCGGCCCTAGCTGGAAATGATGGAGCTGAGAGCAGCCTCCCTTCCTCCTCCTGCCAGGAAGGACACACCAGGCCGGCCTCAGGCCCATTTCCTGCTTCTGCCGCACCCCCAACCACTGGAAAACTGGCAGAGAAGGAAGTGGGAGAGGGAGTGTTCCTCATAGAACCATACCTTTGGGTCTCTCCCCGCCAGCCTGCAGGCTTGGATATGGGGTGTTGAAGAGGGAAAGGTCCATGTGGGACGTGGAGGGCCACAAGGAGAGACCCATGCCTTTTCTCCTCATTCTGGTGGAAGCCATCTTTGATCTCAGATGCTAGCTGCTTAACCCCTGGGGACTATGTCTGGCCTTCCTGGACAGAGGGAGGATGGGGTGTACAGAAGTGCAAGGCCAACACCGCCTTGACCCCAGCAGGGAGGAGTGGGGTCAAGGGTCAAGGCCTCATGATCCTGTAGTCTCAAAGCCACTTAGAGTAGCAGAGAGTAGGGCATGCCTGAGCTGGATGAGGGGCTGCAGAGGGTGGTAAAAGTGGAGCAGGGATCCCCCAGAACCCGCTTCAGAGCCACCCCACCACTACATCAGCAGACTGTGGGAAAGGAGCCAATTTATGAAATTAAATAAAGTCCATGGGGGAAGTGAAGATTGCAGGCCAGGGTACCTTGACCCTGGCCAGGCCCAGCACAGCTGGAGCTCAGCACCCCCCTTCCCACCCCTCCCACGAGGGGGCTTAAATAGGCCAGGCCCTGGCCTGGCATCCAGGGGTCCCAGAGCCTAGGGGGGACAGAAGTCAGAGAAGTAGGGGTGCTGCAGGGCCTCCTCCGCTGAGACACGCTGGACAGGGTTACACTTCAGGAGGTTCTGGAGACAGGAGGGAGCAAAGATGGTGGCAGATTCAGGTCAGGTCAACTGCCAGAGCCCCACCCTCTCCTAGTCCCCCTGGAGGAGAGTTTCAACCCCATCCTCTACCCTGGTTACCTACCTGCAACAGGTCCCTCCCTGTGGCATTGAGCTTGGGCACGACATTCACCAGGGATGTTGTGGCCGGGTACATTGGGTAGGGCTGTGGAGGGGAGAGAGTCAGACCAGAGAGTGGGGTGTGGAGGCTACTGGGGCTGTGAAGAAACTGATCTCTGACCAACCATGACTTTCCCCACTCCCCATCACACCTTGTAGTCTGGCAGCTTAGTCATGGCGGGCCACTGCTCCTCAGTTGGTGTCCCCAGCAGCGTGTCCATGGGGTCAAGGATCACTCATGGAAAGGGCTGCATTTGTACTTTTGGAGGTAGGGTGAGGGGCTTTGCCCTCCCAGGGATAGGATTCTGCATTCCCACCTGCCCCCACTCTACCTGCTACCTCAAGATAAGCCTGTGACATATATTCCTATAGCATGGTGTTTACAGGGAGCCAGATGTGTCTCAAATGCTCATTTAACTCAAACCCTGATGTCTGTGCTCCGAATGAACCAGTTGTCCTTCCCCTTCTCCCACAAAAAGTTCTCTGCTCCTTCTGGCTCCTTCATCCTGAGGATTCCCATCGTCCCCCCACCTCAGAAGTAGGAGTGGCTACTTCCTCACCACGCTCCCCTTGCCTACAAGCTGCACCTGCACAGGGACTATCAGCTCTTCCACCCTCACCCTCAGAAGCAGCCCCGGGCCCCCTCAGCCTTGCCCAGGCCATCATCACCCTCACCCCTGCTCTAAGTTCCCTGCTCACTCCCCTTCCAGAGTGAAGATATGGATGGTGAGCAAGAGATAGATGGGGCAGGGGAAGTGAAGGATATCGGAAGATCCTCTTCAGCTGGTCATCCACATCGTTACCAGGGAAAAGAGGTCGCCCAGCATTGGCCAGCTCTGGGAGGAAGAGAGAGGGATGAGCCCTGATTTGTGAGGCCCCCTCACACTGGAGCAGGCCCTGTGCCTTCCATCCCCGTCCTTAAGAATCCCACTCCCTTCCCCCAGAGGAAACCCTCCAGGCCCTACTTATCAACTCAAATGGGAGAGAAAGTACCCCTGCAGAGCCCCAGCATGTCACCTGCAAAAATGCAGCCAGCTGACCACATGTCGATGGACGTGGAGTACAGTTTAGCCCCAAAGAGGACATCCGGTGGACGGTACCATAGTGTCACCACCTGAAGAAGACCCCATCCACAGGGACCCCCCTACTTAGAGGGCTGGGAAACAGGTTTGAGGAAACTCAGAGACAAGAGGGTCTTGGTCCCCACCCGATGTCCCATTTCCCAGGCTCACTTCAGCAGAGTAACAGCGGACTGGGATCCCAAAGGCTCGAGCCAAACCAAAATCAGCCAACTTCAGCTCCCCATTCTAAGGAAAGATGAAGAGCAACATTGATAAGAGCTTTCAAACAGCATTGGGGTAGGCTCCAGCTCTCCCAGTCCTGCCCCCTCAGTATGCCCAATCCCTGGCTGCAGTCTCCCCATCCTCCCTCCTCCCCCAGAAAGCAATACCCTGTTTATGAGGAGGTTCTGGGGCTTCAGGTCCCTGTGCAACACGTTGCGGCTATGACAGAATCCCAGGCCTTTCAGCAGCTGGAAAAGGAATGACTAGGGAGAAGGAGGGAGAAGGGAGTCAGACACCTGAATGTGTGGATCTTGCTGCCTGCCTCACCTTTTGTCATGCTCTATAGCCCACCCATTTGTAGCAGCAAGCTCAGGAAGACATCATCATTCATTATTGAGGACCCACTTTGCATGGTGCTAGGCATCAGAGAGAAAATGGTGAACAAGTTAACCCTGATCCCCACTTTTTTGGACCTTAGAGCCTGGTGGGCCTGTCTTCTCAGTCCATGCTTATCGCCCTACCTAGCCACACATAAGTGCACATACACCATAACCATTAGTGCAAGTACAGTGCTATAACATTATTCAGGAACTGCTTCCCCTGGAACCTGGGACAAGGCCCTTGGTCTTCATCCTAGCACAGTGCCTGGTGCAAAGCATCCAGTACTTGTTGAATGAATGAAATGTATCTCTATGAGCCTCATTTTCTCATCTCTCCCATGCAAATAACGTCACTGTTACCATGCAGGTCAAAGCAGACTTTGCTCCCTAAGACCAGAGGCTTGTGGAGGGCAGAAATGGGGTTTGTTCATTCTCTGACACTCCAGGGCCCAAACATGCAGTGAAGGAATACTTACACTAAATATAGACCCCACCCAGATTCAATGAGTCCTCAGAACAACCCTCCCCTAACCTTCACAATCTCAGGATCGAGGTCACCATTGCAGCTGTCAAAATACTTCTTCAGGTCCTAAAAACAGATAAGGGTAGAAGAAGAGGTCAGAATTTAAGCTCAGTCTTGGCCCCTGTGTCCTACCAAAATCACTGCTCCCCAAGCCCCCTTTTCACCTGATCACAGAACTCAAAAACCAAAGTCAGCTTCTTGTCACTATGCAGAACATCATGAAGCCTAGGGAGAAGGAAGGGCTCAGTCAGGTCCAAAAGTTGACCCCTAACATCCCAATACCAGCCCAGCCCAACGCTGAAGCCCCCACCTCTTCCTGAAACCACAGGCAAGAAAGGCCTGTGGGGCACACACCTGACGATGTTCTTGTGCTTCAGCTCCTTGAGTAGGCAGATCTCCCGAAGGGCAGAACTCGGCACACCCTACACATGAGGGACCCAGGGGCAGCAGTCAGAGACCACCCATACCAGGCCTCAAACACTACCTCCCCGCTGCCCTGGGCCCCAATCCTACCTCATCATCATCATCCAGCCTCACCCTTTTCAGAGCCACAATCTCATGGGTCTCCCGGTTTTTGGCCTTGAATACAGTTCCATAGGTGCCTAGGGAAAAGAAGCCAAGGGTGACGGAAAGCAGGAGTATCCTTTACCATCTTAGTAAATCCCTCCCGAGAGCAGTTAGCCTCCTAGGGTGCTAGAGAAGGGTTTCAGGGTGAAGGCAAGGCACTGACTAGCTTTGTAAGTGAGGATGCGGCAGGTGAGGAGGGGCAAGAAGGTCCCTGCAAAGGTTCCAGGATACCTGCAGGAGGGAGAGTCTGCAGCGGCTAGGATAAGGAGTTTTATAACAGAGGCGGTGCTCCAGTAAGTCTGGAAACAGGAGGGATGTGGGCGAGAAAAGAGGGCCTGCAGAAATGTTGAGGTTGGAGGTCTGCAGAAAACTGAGGTTGGTGGGGGGTCGAGGTGAGGTTTGCAAGTGGTGCTGAGGCTAGAGATGGGATATGCAGGAAGTGCCGCGGTAGGGAGGTCGAGTCTACAGGGAGTGCTAAGGTTATAAGTGGGAGTCTGCGGGAAATGCTAACTTGGGGAGGGATGGTTGCACATAGTGTTGTGCTCAGTGGCCAGGGCTTCTGCCGGGGTTGAGATCCGAGCTGTAGATATTGCTGACGGTAAGGGGAGTCGGGGCTGCAAGGAATGCTGAAGGGTCTGCAGAAGAAGACCTTGCAGGAACATCTCGTGGTTCTGTTACCTTCCCCAATCTTCTCCAGTTTCTCGTATTTCTGCATTGCGGCGGCCGCGGGGACCCCTGCGGGCCCTGGGTTCTAAGACTCCGGCCCCGGCGTTGCAGGGGAGGCGGTACCCAAGTCTCCGGCCCCGACCCGCCCCGCTGCCCGCGCACGGGCTTCTGGGACTTGTAGTCTTGGCACGGCCAGGTTTCCCAGTAAGGCCCGGGGCGACGGGCTCAAGGACTACAAGCCCCAGCAGGCTGCGTTCCGGCTTTCTGCCGCACTCTACTCCCGAGACTCAGGTTCTACCGCGGAGGCAAACGCTGGACTTCAAGTCCCAGGAAGCATCGCGTGTTCGCTTTCCGGGCGTCCCCGCCGTGCCTCCGAGGTTCCCAGTGTGCCCCGCTCTTGTTATTCCTTTTCTGTGCTCATAGCTCTCTTGGAAAGGGCCGCCAGGGGACTACACGTTCCAGAATGCAGCGGGGATGGGGGTGGGGCGGGGAGGGGCACTCTTCTGTTTGGGGTTTAGGGTTTGGTGGCCTAGATCCCAGGCCCTGGTGGCCTGACTTTGACCCGGTTTGTGATATTGAGTTCCAAGACCTCTTGACAACCTCGGCACGAGTTTCTGCCTCTCCTCAGGCCATCTAGTGACCCGAGGATTGAGTGGAAAATGGCTCTGAGCTACGTTTTCCTGCTGCTGACCTCACAGGGACCAGCTGATCACAGGGCTGGGTAGCAAGGCAGGTGTGCTCCATTTGAGGCTGGAATTGAGTGGAGAGACACACGCACCAGAGATCCTTCTTTCTGCTGGTCCCACTTATCGTCCTGGAGTCCACCGAATTCCAACAGCTCCATTCTAACATGTTGAGGCAAGCTGGCTGGAGGCTGCGAGTCCCCCAGATCCTTGTCTCCAGAGCAGGGCCCACTGGAGTCAGCCAGGGTGTGGCCCACGAGGGCTGGCAGGTTGGTTACCCCTCTCAACAGACAAGACCACAGACAGATGCTACATTTGAAGCCAGTCTTTACCTCATCCCTTAAAGGAGTTGATTATAGATTTTCTTGCACTGCTCTCTAATTGTCTCCTGATTGCATTCTTGAGGGCTGTGAACTGGGCGAAAACGGCCTCAAATAACACTACTCAGCGTTGAAACCAGAGTTGGTGCTAACGTTTGTTAATTAACTCATGTATATCTGAGTGCTTTGGCATAAACAATGCTGTGATTCACCCACGTGGCAGGCTAAGGGAGCGAAAAGCATATTCCTTATCTGAAAGAATTTATAATTTAGTTGCAGAAGCAAGATTACACATAAAGGTCTTTAAAAGGCGACAACTACGAATAGATCTCCATTCAGTGTGGAAGCAGAGCAAACGGAAGTGGGGAATCCCCAACAAGTCGTCTGGTCCTAGGTCAGCTCAGGGTAATGGGCAGCCAACTTCCAGCTCTGTTACTTCTCAGCCGCCTGCCATTCCATGCCTCAGGGGGATTATTGGGGCCGGGGCGGCGCAAGAGATTCTTAACCCCTGTGCATGCCTATTCCAACTTCCTCCGCCCAGAATTTCCTGGCCATTCTGTGCACTCTGTGTCCCCCAAGAGTGAAGCGAGCTCCTTTCCGACCAGAGGTGCAGTAACAAGGCAAGAGTTGGCATTCCCGGGGCGACTGAGGGGGGAAGCCCAGGGCGGCGACAGTGGAGGGTGGCTTCCACAAGCGGGACTCCGGGTGCCGGCCTATGCCTGGAAGCGTGCCTCGCCTCCGTTCCGGGTGTCTGCCCGGGCTGCTTCTTGGCTCGCCGCGCCGGGGCCGCGCACGGCGCGCCGGGGGGCGCGCACGCTGGGGGCTGGACTGCCCGCGGCGCGGGGGAAAGTTGAGTTGGGAGAAGTTGGGAGCGGCGGGGGCGCGCCCCGGGGTGGGCACGGGGAAGTCGTCGGGAGCGCGAGAGGGCACCGGAGGACTTGGACAGACCCCGAGACCCCCGGGGCACGAAATCCTGAGCAAGCGGGTAAGTGGAGAGGTGGTGGCGGGGAAGGGCCGGGGCAGCGAAGGGAGGAAGGGAGGGAGAAGGAGAGGGGGGAACTCGGGACGCGGGCGGGGAGGGAGTGGAAGTGGAGGAAAGGGCGGAGACTGGGGCGCGGGGAACCAGGTTTTGGGGAGAGGGATGAGGAGAAGAGCAGAGTGCTGGTCGGAAGCTACGATTCCGGGGTCTGCTTCTTGGAGTTTCCTAAGGCCAGAGTGCCGCGCCCCCTGCCACCAGGAGGGGGTAGTCTCAGGGAGGCGCCACCACAGGCTCTCCCACTCCTGGGCCGGCTCCAGACAACCCCTCTCCCCTGCGACCTCCCTACAGTCTCTCTCAGGCCTGTCCTGGGGGTTGCCTCGGGCCTGGGGCCTCGGCCCTGATCTCGGAGTTGGGAGGCGGAGTCGAAAAAGCGGGGGGGTGGCGGGTCAGGTCAGGACAAGGGGTCAGGCAGAAGAGGGAGCAACTAGGTAGGGGTTGGAAAAGACGAGCCTGGAGTTGGACCTGACTCCTGGGGGGGCCACCTTGTCTGGCTGGGGAGCTCCGTGATGATTGTGAGGGTAGCACTGTCTGGTATCCGGGGTCCACTTTATCCTCCCTCCTCTCCCTGGCCAGTCCCTCAGCAAAGAGCTGTGGAATGTACCAGTTCTCTTGGGGAGTAGCTAATGCCCAAGTGGGGGTCCAGGGTGATAATCCCTTGGGCAGGGGGAGAGATGCTAATCCTCTGGGCCGGTCAGGGCTGGTCCCCGGAATGTGCCCCCACCCGGATTATAGGCACCGATGCTGTGGACAGAAGCTGCTTTGTGTTCTGGGACAGCAAGGGAGGGGTGGGGGGCATGGGTAGAGGGAGGAGGGGGTGATGGAAGAGCACTCTGAGGGTATGGCCTAGAGATGGGAGTGAGCACCTGCAGGTGCAGGGGACGGATTCTCCCCACACCCCTCCCAGTCCATGTCTACTCCCAGGACACCTCTCCCCCACACTGGCGGGTCCTGGCTGAAGGCCTGCTGAGGGGGAGGTGGAGAGAGCAGTCAGCTGAGTTGGAGTGCCTGCCAGGAATGTGTTGCCCAGGCTCCCCACCCTGGGCTGACCACCCCCCAGACCTTTATTCTTTGACCCTATGCTGACCTGTCTTACCTGTAAGGTAGCCCGAGTCAGGGAACTTCATACCTTCACAGAGCCTTGGACCGCCCCCACTGGGAATGGGTACCCCGATTTGCACTGGTTGGGTTCTCTCCCTACAGAGAGAACCCCCTTTTCTAACCCCCTACCCCCAACACAGTGTTCCCTTGGCCTCCCCTACAGTCACCATCAGGAGGGCAGCAGCCCTGCTACTCAGATTTTCCTGGCCCCTAACTAAAGAGGGGAGGGATGGGAACTGCCCATCAGGAGCAGGACCTCGGGTTTTATGTGCCCACCCCTTTGCTGTGGTCATGTGCACCTCCCCCCATTATAAAACTCTGCCCAGTTGGAGCCCACCGTCAGCCCCTTCTTCCCTCCCACTGAGTGAATGGAGCTAGGCTCCTGCCCTTCACCCCAGGAACTTGCTTCTCTTGCCTGCCCTCACCGAGGAGGCAGGTCTGCCTCCCTGCCCAGCCTGCCTGGAGAAAGGGGCACCCCCTCCCTACTTAGAGGCCCCCTGCTTGGCATCTTGGGCTCTGTCCAGCGTTCTTTCTCTCCCTCTCCTTTCTGTCTGGGCAGCAGTGGCCCCCTCCTCCACACCCCTCTGCTCCACAGGGTGTCTCATTCAACACCACACCCCTCTCTGGTCTCAGGCCCACCTCCTGGGCCACCTCGGGCTGGGTTCCTGTTTCTGTCTGGCCCTTCACTCCCAATTTTCCTCCATTCTTTATCACGCCCTCCCTGATCTCTGTCGCCTTCTCTCCAGGGCTGGGCCTTGACTCCTTCCTCCCTCATTTTCTGCAGCCTCTCCCCCTCCACTCTCCTACTTTCTGCTCAGTCTTGAGGCCCTTCGTGGCCCTCCGCTTTAGTCTTCTCCTCCCTCTCTCTCTTTGTTCTTCTCTTTTTTTTCTATAAATAACTCTCCTTTTTGCTCTTGTAGCCTCAAAGGGCCACTCTGAGGCCCTTCATAATCTAGGAGGATCCTGAGCAGCAAGGAGACCCGGGTGACAGGCAGCTTGGGGCGCTTGGGCTCCTTCCCCCCCCCCCCCCCCCCCCCCCCGTGCCCTCCGATGGTGACTGGTCCTCTCCCCCACCCAGGTTATGCCTCCACCTTGTTGCCCTGAAAGCCGCAGCGACAGTGAAAAGGGCTAAGATTTGGCCATGAGCAGCGGTCGGCGCCCCGCCTCAGGGGCAGATTCTTTCCACACAGTGGTGAGTACTGCTCAGTCAACTGGCCCTTAGGCCACAGGTGCTCAGGCCCAGGGGCCAGCTGGGTGGGGTGGTATGTGTGTAGATGCTGGAGAAAGGAGCCTGTGGTCAATTGGAGAGAGACTCTGTCATCCATATCCTGACCTTGTACCATGTGTTGGGGGCGGTGAGGTGGCTCCTGTTCCTGGGGATAGAGTTGAGGCTGTTTTATGAAGGACCAGGTAGTAACTGTACAGGAACTTTGAAGACCCTAGGTCTCACCCAGTAGGTCCCCTCTGACCCCGCCTTAATGTGCATGGGTCCCAACACACACAGTAGTTCTGGGCAGAGCTCCTTGATGCAGCTGGCCCTGCCCCCGCCCCATAGTTGGCCCCACCCCTGGTGCCACGTGCCCATTGGACCCGCCCCTCCCGCCCCCCCACGTGGTCACTACCCCACATGGCCCCCTCCTGATTTTCCTAAGGAGTCTAATGATTAACCTCAGTGCCACATTCAGCCCAGTTATTGGTCACTTTGGCCCAGTGGGCACGTGACTGGAAGGGGCGCGGGCAGATGCCCTCCCCTCCTTGCCAGGTTCACCCCTGCCAGCCATGGACTTCCTCTTGAGGCCTCAGGTGCGAGGGGTCTGCAAGTCCCCCCCCATTCCACGCTCCCTCCCCTCCTGCCCGCTTCTTCCTGCCAGGCAGCTTCTGGTGGGAGTGGGGACCAAGTGCTTGGGTCAGCCTGGGCAGGAGCCCTCAGCACAGACTGGAGACACCAGCCCTCTGTCCTCGCATCTTCTATCCAGTGTCCCTGTCAGCCGCAGCTGCTCCTGTTGACCCCCCCTTCACCCCGCGTGTCTCCCCAAGACCCGCCCTTTGCCCTCCTCCCTGGCTCTTCCCTGATCTAGATACTGGCACTGCCATGGAGGGGGCTGCATACCCCCGCCCTTGGAGGTCCTGATGCCCTTCAGGTCCAGATACTCTTGAGCAAATATTTGGTGGCCACGGCGCCTGGAGCTGAGACTGGCAGGGGGTGGGTGGGGGGCTGGACCAAGGCTGCTGGGCCAGGCAGCAGGCCGCTTAGTTAGGCGCTTAGCTGGGCTGAGCACCGCAGTCCCTGCCCGGTGCTGGCCCTGCTGCTGCTGTCTGCTGCTGCCGCCGCCGCTGCCGCTCCTGCAGGATGACTCAGGTTGGGGGGGGTGAGGGGCGGGGCTTGCTGACTGGGTGGGGGTGCTTGCTGCGGTGAATGGGGGCCCCCTTGACCAGGCAAAGCTCACGTGTTCCTGTGGAGGCAGGGCTGGGTTTGTCTGACTCAGAATTACGCCAGGTCAGTTAGCTTGGATGCCCCCAAAAGTTACTTTTGGGGCTCAGCAGTTGTCCTCCAGGAACCAAAAGGAGTTTTTTTTCACTTTTTATCACTGAACTGCCCGGTTTGCACACCCTACTTTCCAGCTGCAGAGGGGAGACAGGATTTCTGAGATTCCCAGAGTAGACCCTCCTGCCTGTCCTGGGTCTGACTGCAGACTGGGCCCATTCAGCTGGGGACCCCAGGGAACAGGCTGCGGGGGTGGGGGAGGGGACTGGATCTCTGGCATTGCAGGGAATAACTGCTGTGGGGCTGGGGTGGTCCCTGCATTGGAGGGCACAGCTAATGGGGGATACTGAATCTCTGGCACTGAGTAGGACAGGGTTTGGGTGTGTAATTCCCAGTGACTCCTGTGTGTTTTCTCTATCCCTCATCCTTACAGCCAGAGCCAGAGAGTGTGGGCCCTGGGACACCTGGGTTCCCAGAACAGGAGGAAGATGAACTTCACCGCACCCTGGGAGTTGAACGGTTTGAAGAGATCCTCCAGGAGGCTGGGTCCAGAGGAGGGGAGGAGCCAGGCCGAAGCTATGGAGAGGAAGACTTTGAGTGTGAGGGAACAGGCAGGAGTGGGGGTGGGGGAGGACTTGACTGTCCAGCAGAGAAGGGGCCAGGGTCCCAGTGGGAAGAGCTGTCCTTGGCGGCAGGATAGCAGCAGGGGGATGTTATGCCTGCCCTCAGCCAAACCTCTCTTCCTTTCAGACCATCGCCAGTCCTCCCACCACATCCACCACCCACTGTCCACTCATCTGCCTCCGGATGCCCGCCGCCGCAAGACCCCCCAGGGCCCTGGACGGAAGCCTCGAAGGCGCCCTGGAGCCTCCCCAACTGGGGAAACCCCCACCATTGAGGAGGGGGAGGAAGATGAGGATGAGGCCAGTGAGGCTGAGGGGGCCCGGACACTCACTCAGCCATCTCCTGCCTCCACACCCTCCTCTGTACAGGTGAGGCCTGGGCTTTGGGGGGGATGTGCTCAGGGCCTGGCCTGGCCTCACGTGCCCATGTGGGCCCTGTTGCAGTTCTTTCTCCAAGAGGATGAAGGCACTGACCGGAAGGTAGAGAGGACCAGTCCATCTCCCCCTGCACAACTGCCACACCAGGAGGCAGCTCCCCGGGCTACCAAAGGGGCCCAAACTGGGTAAGTGCACCTTGGTTGTCACTCTCCCAAAGTAGACACCAGACTGGGGTTTACCAGAGGTAGAGTCACCAGACTGGGGTTCAAATCCCATTCCTGCCCCTCACTAGCTGTTTGGGCAGCTGACCTAAACTCTCTGAGCTCTGTTTCTTGTCTGTAAGCCCAGCCTAACAGGACCTAGTGAGGAGGGACTGCAGACAGGTGTTAGTTAAGGTCGGAAGTGTGCTTTAGCAGTCTCAGTCCCCACCCAAGCACTGCCTTGGGGATTAGACCGTGACCTCCCAGCACCTGCTAAGACTCACAGGGTTTGAAAGGAATAGGAGACCCCCCCTCTCATTCCTGGGGATATGTCAGTTCACCCAATTGGAAACTGATGTCAAATGAAATGGTGCCAGAATACTGTCACTGCATCCAGTATCTTGGGCAGAGCATCAGTACCAGTGAGTGGGTGATGAGAGTTTTGGGGCACTAGCTTGGGAAGGTTTCCTGGAGGAAATGACCTCGAACAAGGTCATGACTATCTTGGACCTGTTTTTCTGGGTGCCAGGCAGTGTGAAGGGCTGGGTTGCGGGAAGTGAAGGGCACAGTGCCCCCTTGGGGGAGTAGCTATACTGGGAGGCAGACTGGCATGCAGAGCTGGCAGTGACAGGAAAGCCTGGCATTAGGGAGAGGAAGAGAGAAGTGGGCAGGGCTGTGGCAGAGACAGGGGACAAGCCATGATGGGCTGGAAAGGCCTGGCAGTGGATGGCTCTGGTCCCAGGAGGCTCTTCATATGAGGAGAGAGGAGCAGCACATGTCAGGGACTGGGGCAGAAGTGGCAGTCTGAGGGGAGGCACAGACCCTCCTCATAAACACGGAGGAGCTGGCTGCAGTTCCAAAACTGTTTGCACATACTTTGTTCTCTTTGATCAGAAACGGGGGCCCTGTGAACTTCTTAAATCCAGGGCTATGCCCCAGCGGGCCGAGGGGAAGGGAAGGAATGCTAACTGGTACGAAGAGACCGTTCACAAACACCGGTTAGGAACCATACCCTGTGCTAGTTCTTTCCCCAAATTTCACCTCTCCCAGTACCATTTGAGGTTCGCCTCAGCCCCGTTCTGCTGAAGAGGAATTCATGTGCAGATTGGCCTTCTGGTGACCCCCAAGAGTGGGAGCCAGGAGGAGGTGAGGTCCTTCTAGTTCCCTTCCTAGGATCCTCTGCATGGGTGGAGGTCCGCTCTGTCAGATTCATGGCTACTCTGTTTGCAGAACACTGGTGGAGGAGGTGGTACCAGTGGCCAGTGGCACAGCTGGAGGTGACGATGGGGGTGCCTCGGGGCGCCCTCTGACCAAAGCTCAGCCTGGGCATCGCAGCTACAACCTTCAGGAGAGAAGACGCATTGGGAGTATGACCGGGGCAGAGCAAGCACTGCTGCCCCGTGTCCCCACTGATGAAAGTGAGGCCCAGACGCTAGCCACGGCTGACCTTGACCTCATGAAGAGTGAGTCCTGGGGCCTGGGCCAAGCCCACTGCTGGTAGAAAAAAGAGTAAGAGAAAGGGGAACCCAATCTTGGTCCTCTACTTGCCCCTAGGTCACAGGTTTGAGGATGTTCCTGGGGTGCGACGGCATTTGGTACGGAAGAACGCCAAAGGGTCTGTGCAGAGTGTGCGGGAAGGGCGAGAGCCCGGCCCCACGCCTCGGGCCCGACCCCGGGCCCCCCACAAGCCCCATGAGGTACAGTTCTGCTTCATGCTGTTGCATTTTTCTCCCCATCCATTGCCTCCCCCTCCCCACTCCCCTACCTCTCAGACCCATATATCTTGAGCACCAGGGTTACTGCCTGTGGGGATGAACCTTAAGAGTTGTTTGACATGGACACTGTGGATCGGTGCACATCCGAAACATTGTGAATTTGTGTATTACGATTATGGTTCATACTTGAGACCTTGCTGATGTGCATATCATGGCCATTTGCTGGCAGGTGGCAGTGAAGAATCAGGGAGATGCCTTATTCTGCTTTGATCAAAGACCCTTAAGGCTGGAGGAGGTGTTCTGTGGCACTGCACTTTGTTTTCAAAACCCAGTTGCCTCTGCTTATTTGATCCTCCCATCTACCTGTGAAGGCGATAGCACAGGTGGCGTCAGTCATAAACCAGGGTCTGTGACTTGGCCAAGGTCACCTAGTTACTTAGTGACACTACCCACTTTAGACTCCAGGGCTCTGGTCCTGAACTCTGCCTTAGTGTATTTTTTTTTTAAGCTGTTTTATTGAGGTATAATAGCCGTGCAGTAAATTTCACCAGTACTGAGTGTCCAGCTCAGAGACTTGGTGCACCTGTTGCTCCCAGATAGCTACTACCTCCATGGGGACTGTTTTTCACCCTCGGCAGGTTCCTCCTGCCTCCACCCAGCAGTCTTCCAGCAGAGGTGACCAGGCTTTGTTATTTGCAATTCGTTTTGCCAGTCCTGGCTACATACAAACGGAATCTTACAGAAACCTGCTGTTTTCTTAGGTAGCGACCTGCCAGGCACTGTGTCCTGGAGTATACTTATGTCCTACAGGCTTTCTTTAATCCCTATTACAGCCCTTGGAGGAAGTGGGCGTTGTTGTCTTTTATAGACAAGGGAAACCCAGTCTCAAATTGGTAGTCACGTGTTCCAGGTTCCTAGGCCTCATGTGAGACTTGTGTGTCTATGTGCCATCCACTGTGCCCCAGGGCCACTTGCTCTTCCTGATGTAAGCTTTGCCTGAGCCCACCTCTGACTCCTTACCCTGCACCTTCTCATCTTGCCCCAAGGTGTTTGTGGAGTTGAATGAGTTGCTGCTGGACAAAAACCAGGAGCCTCAGTGGCGGGAGACAGCCCGTTGGATCAAATTTGAGGAGGACGTGGAGGAGGAGACCGAGCGCTGGGGGAAGCCCCATGTGGCCTCGCTCTCCTTTCGCAGTCTCCTGGAGCTCCGCCGGACCCTGGCCCATGGTACCCACAGTGCCTGCCTCCCCTGTCCATCCTGCTGCAGGATACTCGCTGCTTCTAGATCTGATGATTGATCTGTTGTGTTTGGGGTGCTAAAATGTCTTTAAGCCATTTCAATGGAATGCTTCCTGAAATTCCTGTCATGGCTTCTTTGCATTGTAGAAAACCTGGGGAATATGATCTCACCTGTGGGGCTGGATAAACTTCACTAAATAACTACCACACAGGACTCTTGAGCCCTGTGGCTGCTTGTTTCCTCCTTCCCAGCTGGTAATCACTCCCAGTTGTTCTTATTCTAAGTAGCTGAGGATTGAGAAACCTGCTGTTAAAATTGTTCTCAAACTAAGAGTACTAGGCTCTAAGTAAGGCTTCAGGCACTTTGAGTAAAGGGCCAGAGTGCTTTATTTTTTGGTACTGTGGATTGAACCTGGGGGCACTTTGCAACTGAGCCACATTCCCAGCCCTTTTTTATTTTTTTTATTTTTTGAGACAGGGTATTACTAAGTTGTTTAGGGCCCTGCTATGTTGCTGAGGCTGGCCTTGAACTTATGATCCTCCTGTTTCAGCTTCCTGAGTTGCTTCAATTAGAGGCCTGCACCACTGTGCCCAGCCCCAGGGGTGCTTTACCTTTGAGCTATATCTCCAGCTCTTTTTATTTTTATTAAAATAAAAGTTGAGTTGCTGAGGCTGGCCTTGAACTTGTGATCTTCCTGCCTCAGCCTCCTGAGTTGCTGGGATTACAGCACATGCCATTGTGCTTGCTGCCCGTGTTTTATCATTAGCCTTTGTGATCTGCTTTGGCTGCTGGAGTCCTTTGGTTCTGTGTATTCTTCAGTTCTTTGTTCCTGGAAGTTGACCTTGCCAGATAAAGACCTGGTACTTTTAAAAGGATTTTCTATAGGAAAGGGTGCAGAGAGGTCTGGAGGCTTCCCAGTAAGCAGCCACTGGGCTTGGGGAAGCAAAGCGTAAGTCGAGAAGCCTGAGGTGGAGGAGGGTCTTCAGGTGGCTTAAGGACATGTGGACAAGGCCACAGGCCAGCTGTGTCCTGATCTAGAGGGTAGAGGTAGGACCCTAGAGGAACAGCACATGAATCACTAAGGGAAGAACTGAGTTCAACCTGAGAGAGTGGCCTAGGCATCCCAGGGAGGCTGGATGATTCCTGGAAGGGAGTGTGATAACTGAGTCTCTCCTTGCTGCAGTTCTGGAAGGAGATGGGGGTGGGGAGAAATAGGTCAGAGAGGCGAAGTGATATAGACTTCAGAGGCAGAGCTGGGACTCCAGCCTTGATCCTCGGTTTGTAGGTTGGACCGTACCCACCTAGTTAGGCCTGTCTGTCCCAAGCGATCCCTCCCATTCCATTTCCCACCATTGTTTCTTGCCCTGAGGTGGGGAGTCCTCCTGTCATCTTTATTCCAGGAGCTGTGCTCTTGGATCTGGACCAGCAGACCCTGCCTGGGGTGGCCCACCAAGTAGTAGAGCAGATGGTCATCTCCGACCAGATCAAGGCCGAGGACAGGGCCAATGTGCTGCGGGCCCTTCTGTTGAAACACAGGTATGGCCCTTTGGGGAAGGTGGATGCCACTGCATCCTGCCCATCTGTTTCCTTCCCTGCCGTCATCCCTCCTTACACTCACTGCTGTCTGTCCTGCCAGCCACCCGAGTGATGAGAAGGACTTCTCCTTCCCCCGTAACATCTCAGCTGGCTCCTTGGGCTCCCTGCTAGGGCATCACCATCCCCAGGGGGCTGAGAGTGACCCACACGTCACTGAGCCTCTCATTGGTGGTGTTCCTGAGACCCGGCTGGAGGTGGATCGAGAGGTGAGGAGTTGGCACAGACCTGCGTGGGCACAGTCCTGTGAGCAAGCCCTGATGGGAACACGTGGGGTCAGGGAGGCTGTCTGGACTGAGTTCCATTCTGTGACCCCCACAGCGTGAGCTGCCACCTCCAGCCCCACCAGCTGGCATCACTCGTTCCAAGTCTAAGCATGAGCTAAAGCTGCTGGAGAAGATCCCTGAGAATGCCGAGGCTACCGTGGTCCTCGTGGGTATGTGGGGCAAGTCTGAGGGCTGGGGTGGTAGTCTCAGCAGGGGCTGGGACTGGGTGGGGTCCTGCTGTGTGTTCTTGCCCATGATGGCCCATCCTCCTAGGCTGTGTGGAGTTCCTCTCCCGCCCCACCATGGCCTTCGTGCGGCTGCGAGAGGCTGTAGAACTGGATGCAGTGTTGGAGGTGCCTGTGCCCGTGCGTTTCCTCTTTCTGCTGCTGGGCCCCAGCAGCGCCAACATGGACTACCACGAGATTGGCCGCTCTATCTCCACCCTCATGTCCGACAAGGTCAGCCCCTTGCCTTTCTGGTCCCCGGAGCCACCCCTACTCCCCACTGCCAGTCTTGGTTGCCTTAGCTCCACCTCTTGGCCCCCTCTGGTGCCCTCCCTGACTCCTGTCCTGCTCTGGCAGCAATTCCATGAGGCAGCCTATCTGGCAGATGAACGGGATGACCTGCTGACTGCCATCAATGCCTTCCTGGACTGCAGTGTGGTGCTCCCCCCCTCGGAAGTACAGGGCGAGGAACTCCTACGTTCTGTCGCTCACTTCCAGCGCCAGATGCTCAAGAAACGGGAAGAGCAGGGCCGGCTGCTGCCCCCAGGATCTGGGCTGGAGCCCAAGTCTGCCCAAGATAAGGGTACGGCCATGCAGGCCCGAGCCAGATGGGGCTGCCTTGAGGAGGGGTTGGGTGGGTAGGAGAGCCACACAGTCACCAACAGAGAGGTTGGGGTTGGCAGTGCTTCTGCAGGTGGTGGGTGGACTGTGCACATGGAGGAGGTCCTGGTCAGTGGGCAGGAGGGCCCCACAGCTGCCCTGACATCAGCCTGGGTTGTAGCACTCCTGCAGATGGTGGAGGTGGTAGGTGCAGCTGAAGATGATCCCCTTCGTCGGACGGGCCGGCCCTTCGGGGGCCTGATCCGTGATGTGAAGCGTCGCTATCCCCACTACCTGAGTGACTTCCGAGATGCACTTGACCCCCAGTGTCTGGCTGCCGTCATCTTCATCTATTTTGCTGCTCTGTCTCCTGCCATCACCTTTGGGGGGCTGCTGGGTAAGGAGGAGCTCATAGGGACAGGGGTGCACAGCCTGGCCGCTGAGCTGAGCTGGTTCCTGCACCCCCAGGAGAGAAGACGCAGGATCTGATAGGCGTGTCAGAGCTGATCATGTCCACAGCGCTCCAGGGTGTGATCTTCTGTCTGCTGGGGGCTCAGCCATTATTGGTGATTGGCTTCTCAGGCCCCCTGCTGGTCTTTGAGGAAGCCTTCTTCTCGGTGAGGGCTCTTTCTGCCTTGGTCCAGTTCCCCCTTCTCTTCCCAGTATCTCTCCCATTGCCCCCAGAGCTCGGGGCCTGATACCTTCCCACCTCCCCTGCCTAGTTCTGTAGTAGCAACCAGCTGGAGTACCTGGTGGGCCGCGTGTGGATTGGCTTCTGGCTGGTGCTCTTGGCCCTGCTCATGGTGGCCCTGGAGGGGAGCTTCCTGGTCCGCTTTGTCTCCCGCTTCACCCAGGAGATCTTCGCCTTCCTTATCTCCCTCATTTTCATCTACGAGACCTTCTACAAGCTGGTCAAGGTAGGCAGGCCCTGCTCAAAACAGGGCTGGGAAAAGAGCAGGGCTTCAGGGCAGGAGGGAGTCCAGGGGCATCCTGTCTCATGTCTTCTAGACTGGAGGCCAGGCTGGTCCCAGGAGTTCCCTGGACTTGCAGTCTATGGAGCCCACAGAGCTGAGGCTTGTTCTCCCCGCTGCTCCCAGCTGGTCCTCTGGGTTATTTTTTTAATCCGAGATGAGCTCCTGGCAGGCCTTTTCCCCTCCTGTGCTAGCCTTCCAATTTTCAGCTGAGCCCAAGAATTTTCTCCCCATTTTAGCTAATGGGACCCATTGTGACCCTCCTCTTTCCCCAGATCTTCCAGGAGCATCCCCTCCACGGCTGTTCAGTCTCCAATAGCTCAGAGGCAGACAGCGACAATACAACATGGGCCAGAGCAACAACCACGCTGGGACCAGGCAATGGGAGCTTGGCTGGGCAGTCTGGGCAAGGGAGACCCCGGGGCCAGCCCAACACAGCCCTGCTGTCACTGGTGCTCATGGCTGGCACCTTCTTCATCGCCTTCTTCCTACGCAAATTTAAGAATAGCCGGTTCTTCCCCGGCCGGGTACGTGGACTTGCAGGCTGTGGAGATCTGGGGATGGGATGGGGTGTTTCTAGGAAGTGAGGGTCTGAGTGGGACAGCAGGTCTCTGAGCACGGTTCTTGTCCTCAGATACGGCGGGTGATTGGGGACTTTGGGGTGCCCATCGCAATCCTCATCATGGTGCTTGTGGATTACAGTATTGAGGACACCTACACCCAGGTAAGGCATTGTACGTGTGACAGCAGGGTGCCGTTTCCACCACCCTGGGTTCTGGTGTTGCACTCCAGGCCTCAGCCAGAGCCTGTCCTTAAGCTGGGCAAATACCAAGCCTTTCCCCCAGTGTGCCCTCCATGTCCACCCTGCCCATGACTACATACTGTCTCTGCCCTGCAGAAGCTGAGTGTGCCCAGTGGATTCTCAGTGACAGCTCCAGAAAAGCGGGGCTGGGTCATCAACCCCCTGGGGGAGAAGAGTCCCTTCCCTGTGTGGATGATGATTGCCAGCCTGCTGCCTGCCGTCCTGGTCTTCATCCTCATCTTCATGGAGACGCAGATCACCACGTGTGTGGTCCTATTTGAGAGTCCTGGGGCTGTCAGAAGGCCAGAGTCCTCAGCCAGACTTGGGGACACACATGGGAACTGCTACTCTGTTGGGCAAGAGAGTCCAATGACTTCGGGGGACATTGAATGCCCTGATGGCTGAAGTTTTATTTTATAGGCACCAGAAAACATCACTGAGGGGCTGGGGATGTAGCTCAGTGTAGAGTGCTTGTCTAGCACGTGCGAGGCCCTGGATTCCATCCCCACAACAGCAAAAACTCCAAAACAAAACCTGAGGTTGGCCAGGGGGAGGACAGAGTACAGGCTAAGGCTTGCTGGGAGCTCTCCTACAGGATAAGGGCTGAGGGCACACACTGAACTCTATGATGGAATTCTAGTCCTGACGGAATAGACAGGGACTACCAGGTTCCATAAACACAGGGACTGGCTGGGGTGTTCTGGCCACACCAGGTATGGCAGGCCTTAGCAGTGCCTCCCCCCTCCCCAGGCTGATCATCTCTAAGAAGGAGCGAATGCTGCAGAAGGGCTCTGGCTTCCACCTGGACCTGCTGCTCATCGTAGCCATGGGCGGCATCTGTGCCCTCTTTGGCCTGCCCTGGTTGGCTGCTGCCACTGTCCGCTCTGTCACTCATGCCAACGCACTCACTGTCATGAGCAAGGCTGTGGCGCCAGGGGACAAGCCCAAGATTCAGGAGGTCAAAGAACAGCGGGTTACAGGCCTGCTGGTGGCCCTGCTTGTGGGTATGCTTCCCCTTATCCACAACCTTCCTTGTGGTACCCAAGGCCCCTGGGGGAAAGAACCTGGGGCTAGCTGTTTCTCCCCCTCCCTAGGCCTTTCCATGGTTATCGGGGATCTGCTCCGGCAGATCCCCCTGGCTGTGCTCTTTGGAATTTTCCTGTACATGGGAGTCACTTCCCTTAATGGGATCCAGTTCTATGAACGGTTGCACCTGCTGCTCATGCCACCCAAACACCATCCAGACGTCACCTACGTCAAAAAGGTGAGTCCTCGCCTAGAAGGACCCCAGACCTCTGCCCCATTCTGGTTTACTTGAGTCAGCTGCTTCTCCCCACTTTAGGAAGCCCCCATTAACCATCGGTACAGAGCAGTCTCTGAGCTACTTCCATCACTAGAGGATCCCAAGCATCATTCTGGTTGTCCTCTGGATATGGTTGCTTTGGAGAGAAGCCTGGGCTCACTTTGTCTCTTGCCAACCAGGTTCGGACCCTGCGAATGCACCTGTTCACAGCTCTGCAGCTGCTCTGCCTGGCCCTGCTCTGGGCTGTTATGTCCACATCTGCCTCCCTGGCCTTCCCCTTCATCCTCATCCTCACAGTACCACTGCGCATGGTGGTGCTCACCCGTATCTTCACCGAGCGAGAGATGAAATATGTAAGGATCCCTGCTCCCACCCACCCCCCCCCCCCCCCACCCACCCCCCCCCCCCCCCCCCCGCCTCCTGTGGTTCTGGAAAGGCCCACCCTTCTCTTCCTCCCACAGCTGGACGCTAATGAGGCGGAGCCAGTGTTTGATGAGCGCGAGGGTGTGGATGAATACAATGAGATGCCCATGCCTGTGTAGCTGCTGCCCAGGGACTGAATGATGGACAGAGGGAATGGGCTGGTGGGATGGGTTTCCCCTCCCCCTCCCAGTTTTTATTTAAGTGAATAATTTAAAGTCCCCTTCTCCCCACCCCTGCAGTAAAGTGCTTCGGCCCCCACCTACCCCTGGTCTTGTCTGTCTAGTGGAAGTGGCAGGGAATGGGGTACTCAGCCCTGCTCTCTGTCACAGAAATGAGACTCACAACAGGGAAGGAAAGGGACTTTAATGAAAAATCAAAACATAGGGAGCCAAAGTGCAAATTGTCCACCCCCCATAGGGGGGCCATCCTGAGCCCCATGTGTATCCCCTCATCCTCCTTCAGGCCCCCAGCGGAGGCCTAAGGCCTGGAGCTTCTGCCTAAGGTAGCTCTTGAGCTGGGGCAGGCCTCTCTGTGACTCCAGTTCCTCAAAGGGCAGCTGTGGGGAGAGGACACTGGGTTACCTGCATGGCAGGGGTGAGGATGAGGATCAGGTAGGGTGCGGCCTCTCACCGGCAGGAGCTGGTAGCCCATTAGGCCCAGGTGCCGCTCCCTCAGGGCACGGGAGCCCAGCAGCACCCTGCCATCACGGCAGAAATGCCAGCGTTCACGCAGCATCAGCACCACCCTGGAGAGGAGTAGACATGTTATGGGTGCTCTTGGCCAGGGGGTCAAGATTCCCGCACCCTGCTTTCTTACCTTTGGGCAGGGTCACGGGTCGTAGGATTAGAGGCAGCCTGTCCCTGTGGACAGGACCTTGGTGGGTAAGGTAGAAAGGGGTCTTGGGTCCTCACAGGAAGCACAGCACCAGAGCTGCTGACACACAGCAGGAAGTCTGCAGGGAAGAGAGCCAGGGCCTTAGCCTAGCTCCACTTCTGGAGCTGCCCCCCACCTGGAGCTCACCTGTGCAGTAGCCGGGAGGCACAGTCAGGTCCTGGCGGTATTTCTCCTCCCCCAGCAGCTGGCGCAGCCCCTCAGCTACTATGTCCTTGTGACTGAGGGGAAATGATACTGGTAGAAGACAGGCCCCAAGTCTCATCCCAGTCTGTCCATAGCACCAACACCCAGGAAAAAATCCCTTGACTGGTCAGGGCCCATTTTTTTCCCCTCTAGGACCACTAAGCACAGTGGTGCAGGTACTGCTGTCTATGGTCTCTAGCTGTTCTACTGTGCTTCTCTGGCTCTCCCTCCCCTTACCCCAGACTGCCTGCCCACCTGTACTTGCAGCGGGCACGGTCGGTGATGAGTGGCTGGGGAAAGATGGGCACTTGCTGCCTTCGGGGAAGGCGGGGGCCCCGGTATCCTGGGAGCTCCAGCTCCACAGCCGCGTCAAGCAGGGAGAGGTAGCGTCGAACAATCAGAGCGTGAGGGGTGCCTGTGGGGAGGTGGGGACTGGAGCACCCTGTGTAGGCCAATGATCCCTGGGTGCTCCCCTGACCTCTGGGGTCTCAGGCCCCTCCAGCCATCCTCTCTGCATACCACTGATGTGGTTGATAAAACCCGGGGAGAAGACAAAGTGCAGGGCTCTGAAGGGCAGGCACCGTAACTGGCACAGTGACATCAAAATGTTGACTGTGGCCAGGGGTGCCACCCCTGCCTCCCGAGCCAGGATCCTCTCAAGGCAGGGCATAAACTGCTGCTCCAGGGGTAGGTAGTTCAGCCGCCCAAAGGGCAAGACCAGCTTCTGTACCACCTGTGGAGAAGAGCAGCATGTCAACTGGCAGGAAGTGCTGCTCCAAGTCTCTCAAGCTGAGTGTTAGGCAGGAATGGCCTAGCCTGTAACGTCACTGTCAAGGCATAACACTCCTCTACCCCAGCATATACACAAGTTCAACAGTATAAGCAGTGTCTTTGAGCCAAATGTGACTAGACAAGTAGAAGGTACATTCTGTGGGGTCTGGCCTGCAGACTTGGAAAAGCAGGACAGGCGGAACTAGGATGAGGCTGAGTGCTTTGGTACAACTGCTGAGCTCTTGGCATCCATGTTGTTCATGGGGGTTGGAAAAGCCAGCACAGAGAGGGCATGGAGCAGAGCTACCTAGCTGGAGTGTTTCTGCCAGAGGAAGAGGCTAGTCACGCTGGACAGGAGGCTAGGCTTGACCAGGTCACTGAGGATGACTCACAGAGGAGCATGGGAGGGTGGGAGGCAAGCCCACCTTGCTGCTGAGCTGGGCTTCCTGGACCACCAGGAAGTGGGCAATGGCTTCCAGAAGCTGGGGCTCCCGCAACCGATGCCGAGCGAGATGCTGGGCCAGAAGGACCATCACATGAGGAGTCAGTTCTTCTGGCCTTGCCTCTGTGAAGAACAGCCTTCACTTCATGCTGGGCCCTGACCGCTGGCAGGCTAGACTGTCAGCCCAGACAACTTAATTCCCATGTCCTCCTCAGCCCCTGCCCTCCATTTGCCTTCCACCCTCCAGCACCTGCCAGGCTGCTGATCAGATTCTGCCTCGGATACCGCAGGAAACGGGGGCAGCTCAGAGCAGCTTCTAGCCTTTGTCCACCACGGAGGACAGGCTGCAGAGGGGGAGGTGGCTTTGGAGGGAGACGAAACCTTCGCTCCTGCTCCAGGGCACACACCAGAGGTCCATCTGATGGAAAGCCTGAGAGAGGAGGCAAAGGAGGTCCTGCTGAGAGAGTTGTGCTGTGTTTTTCTAATCATGGGGTGAGTCCTGACCTCTCTCCCCTTCATTTCCTGAGAGGGAATATACACTCGAGTTTATGTGAAAAGACTGGAGAAATGTGAAGTTTCAGGTGGATACGTATCAGAGCAGTCTGTCAGGGAAAGCTTTATACAAAGGTGGCAAAAGGCCCTCAACTCCTGCCAAGAACTGCAGTGGCTTCTGAGAGCACTGTAGAAGGAAGCTGGGGTGGCACCCTGTGAATCTGGAATGAATGCTGTTCAACTTACGACATCTGTCGCGGATACAGGAGGGGCAGTAACAAGTGCATCTGGGTATGTGCTACTCCTGGGCAAAAGCAGTGACCTGTGTACTGTTCTCTCCCTTTATCCTTCCCTAAGCCCCCACACCCCCAGACGCCCTCCTCACCAAGTAAGACTGCAAGGTGCAGACACACGTGGATGGTATGAATGTCAAAGGAGGGGCAGTTTCGGATGATGAGCTGACTCAAGTCCTGCAGTGTGGCCTGCTCCACAGGAGGGGGCCGAGGCTGAGACCCCAAGAGCTGGCCCAGGCGACGAAGTGCCACAGGATAGTGGTGGGCGCGAACCTTGGTGGGGTTCTGGCCCAGCCAGCGCAGTAGCTCCCCAGGACTCTTCGCCTGTTCCAGAAGCCGCTGCAGTCCTTGCACATGGCCTGCACGGGGCCCTCCTCCAAGAGGCCGGTCCCCCCACTTGCTGGGCCCCAAACAGCAGGGCTGTACTGGAGGGATCAGCAGCAGGCCAGACAGCCGAGCAGGGGAGGCCTGAGCAGAGAGCAGGACTCGAAGCATGGAGTTGGGTGATGGAGACCCTGAGGGTGGCCCAGAAAAGGGGGTGAGGTTTCCTCCAAAGGGGCAAAGGACTCAGTCTACTCCTTACCTCACTCCCCATCCAGAGGGGCCTGGAGTCTGAGCTACCCTCTGTGACTGCTCTGGTCCTGTTCTCCACCCTGCCCTCTTTCCCTTTTCATTCCTTGAAACAGCAATCCTAATCCTTCAGTGTGCTCAGCGCAGCGCAATTCACAAAGCAATTCCACATGCACTATCTCCTCTGATGCTCCATACAGGCCGATGAGGAGTCGCAGGGCTGGCATTACCTCATTTCACAGGTGGAGAAACCAAGGGCCAGAACGACGAAGAGGTTAAGTTAAGCCCGAGGTCATTCACGGGTTAGTGGTCGCGCCCAGCCTGGAGCCAGGACGGCCCCGCGATGCGCCCTCCCGACCACCTTCCCCTCCCGCAGGAGGCGGCGGCGGCACGGAGGGCGGAACGCGGGCTCCGCAGCAGGACGGTGCTGGGTCCCATGCTGGGCGCTCCCACTTGCCAGCTGCGTGACCTTGGGCAAGTGGCTTCGCCTCTGCCTAAGTCTCCTCACCCATGAAAAGAGAACACAGCGCCCCAAGTCGAAGGGTGCGCGCGGAGAAGAGAGCGCAGCTTTGAGAAGGCGAGGAGTCCGCGATGCTGGGGGCCCACACACCCGCCCTGGCCCGGGGACGTCAGGAGACCGTGGCCACCGCCGCTAACGCCAGCTCCCGCCGCCCTCCCGCGGCCCGCCCCGCAGGCGCCACCCTACATGACTCCCCGGGCCCCGCGCAGGTCGCTCCCTCAGTCGGTCTCGGGGCCCGAGAGCCGGGCTCCCCCCGCGGCCTCCTCATCGGCGGCCCACCGAGTCCGCCATCTTCCCAGCAGCCCCCGAATCGCAGCCTGCACGCCAATCCCGGCGCAGCGCTCGGCCGGCAGAGACGTGGCTCCCGACAGGCGCTGCGAGCCGGGGCGCCTTGAGCCCGCCCCCCGCTTCCGGGAAGTGCGCGCGTGGCGCGCGGGGCGGGGCCACAGCTGGAGGGGCGGGACTGCAGAACCAAAAGCTGAAGCTGGCGGATCTGCAGAGTAAGGGGTCAGTTGCCGGCCTGAGCAGGTTGCAGGGGCCTGAGGGCCTAGTACTCGTCGTTTCCCCTTTTCTCCCGGAGCAAGGCCTCCCCGCCCTTCCCACCCCAGCTCCGCACAGACGCACAACAGAGTGAAAACTTCACAGTTATTTTAATCTGCACAAGTTCCAGAGAATGCCTCTGCCCCTCCCAGCTCCCTGTCACCAGCCTCCCACAGTTCCTAGGTGCCCAAATCAGCCAAGGAGGTCTTGGGACTAAGGATGGCTGAGTCCAAAGGCAGAGCACTAAGACGGGCCCAGGGGAGTGGGCCGTATTCTTTGTTCAGGGCCAAGGCAACGACAGCAAGTGCCTGACCCTGAAGAGCCAACTGTCAGTGAAGGCTGAGGGCCAGCAGCCCCAGAAGGTGGTCCAGAGCCATGGAGATCACAGGGGCGGGACTCTGCCAGTTCCCGGAGTCCCCTGCGACGCAGGGCTGGGCTCCAGGGTAATGGGAAGAGGCAGGCTGGAGAAGCTGGCCTGGGCAGACAGCAGCTCCCACCACGACGTGGGGAGTGAGGTCCAGAGGGGTTGGCTACACCACCAAGAGCCCGTGGAGGCACTATGGGCGGTACATGGCAAAGGCCAGGAGACTGAGGAGCAGGGTGAAGCCGGCTAGGCCCAGGGTGGCGGTCAGGGGAAAGAAGGGCCGGTACTGGATCTGGCAGTACCAGAGCAGGAGCAGCAGCAGCAGCAGCAGGGGCAGCAACAGGCTGCCGATTTCCAGCCCGGAGGGGCCTGGCTCTGACCCCGGTGGACAGGGGGGATGTGGAGAACCGACCCTCGTTGACACGTGGCAGTGGAGTACGCAGTTGGGAGGGAGGTGAAGGCTGCCCAGCGTCTGACTGTCGTCTCCTAGAAGCTGGCCTTGGTAGATGAGTCGCACCTGGTGTTCCCGGCCGGGAAACTGGGTCCTGAGGAGAGAGGGACCTGGGTAAGAGAGCAGGCCTCAGGCAATCCTAGTCCCTTGCCCAGAGCAAGGCTCCCATTCTTCCCTTTTGCCCTCCACACACCACCCAGCAGTGGCCTCTGGGAGGCAGTCTGTTGCAGGGGAACAAGAACAGTGTACACTTTGGGCAGCTCCATTCCCTCAAACTGAAAATAAGGGAGGAGTCTCAGATATTTCTGGTGGCCCAGTCTATCTCACCCCATTCTTTAGCATTTGATTCCTACCCTCTTTCCCGCTTACCTTTTCAAGGAGCCAATGGTGTCATGAGGCCAGGCTCTGGCCACCTGCTCCGAATCATTGAGGAATTTGAGCCGTAGCACGAGGGGCTCCTGTGGGGAGTCTGGGGGTGGTGTTGTTGCAGTGACTCCAGGCTCTGGCGGTGCAGCTTGACCTCTGTGTCTCAAACTGGGGGACTCGGCCCCTGGAGCCTCTCCTCTGATGCTGTCAGTGGCTGCCATGACTTCGCTGGGCTGGGCTGGCGTTGAAGTCCCTGGTGGTTGGGGCAGGGTATCGGAGCCCTCCGTGGTATGTGTTGAGACCCAGGCAAGGGCCAGCACCAGAAGGCAGGCAAGCACCGCAAAAAGGATGGTCACCTCATCACCCACCCCTTCAATCAAGGCCATGGCACCTGCCTGCCGTGCTACCGAGCTGGAGAGGGCACAAAGAACAGGTGAGGGGCTGGCTCTCTGGCCAGGAGCCCTCCTAACTTCGACAGGCTTCTGACCCCACCCTGCCACAATTCTCCCACAGTCCTGATTCTTCTGTTCCCTTAACCATCCTAGTACAGACTGCTCTATATCCCAGTCATCCCAAATTTGCCATGTTTTGCCCCTTCCCATCACCAAATCGAAAGTCCTAACTTTGTAACTTGAGTTCTAGGTCTTCTAGCTCAATTCACAGAAACCCTATCTCCAGGAAGGTGTTTGACCTTCTAAACAGCCGGTTCCCTAAACTTAACCCCCACCAAACTTCACCCTAAAGCTTACCTGTTCTTTTGACCACTTCATCTCAAAGTTTTGTTTACTCCTTCGCCTATTTCACCCCAAGTTCATATAATGCTCTGTAACTAAGTTTCTCCAAGAGGCTGAAAAAGGGTCTTCAAGCCCACCTCACCCCACCCCTTCATTTCTAGCCTTACCATTTACCCAAACCCCACCCGCGGCACGGGACTCCTTCCCAAAGCTTCCCCCACACCAAACGTCAAAATCCGCCCTTGGGCAATCTGGAGTCTCTGCGCGCTGCCACCCACCCAGCAGGTCCCCTCTTGGTCCACCCAAACCCTCCTCGCGGCAGCTCGATTCCGCGCCTCCACGGGAAGCCTCTCCAAACCCAGCGGCCGCCAGACCCAGATCCAGTCCAGGAACCCAAGACTGCGCCCTCCCCACCCCCACTGCTCCATCACCCCTCCCATCTTTCTGCCCCCCGAGCCACAGGAGGGCACAGCCGATCCCGGGGCGGGGCGAGGGCGGCCCAGCCCAGACCTGGGGCGGCGGGGTGGGCGCGGCCAAAGCGCGGGGACTCACCGCCCGGCTCCGCCAGCTCCATCTCGGCCCCTCGGGCACTTCCGGGCGGGAGGCGCTGAGGTCGCAGACACCTGAGGCACCGCTCCTTCCCAGCCGCCGCGGCCCCGAGCATTGTGGGATTTGTAGTCCGCGCTGGCATTGCCCGCCTTCCGCCCTGCGGACCCACGTGCCGGGCTCGGTCCGCTGCTCAGGCTGTCCGCCTGTCCGCCGCAGTCGGGGCTGGCGGGGGCGACTCGGGTAATTGTGCTATTCGGCAGAGATTTTGACCTCAGCAGGATTCGTCCCCTTCGCCGCCAGCAGCCAGGGCATCTGTCACTCCAGACACCAACGTCAGCTGAGCACGTCAGAGCACCCTTGTTAGTGATGCAGTGATGAGAGCGCTTGAGAGCTCAGGTGGCCACTACCCCGGTTTTCCCTATGTCAGAGTGGACGCCAGGAAGCAACTTGGCCTTCCAATTTGACGCTTCAGCCCAGAGCTCAGTAGGCGTGAGCTGTCCCATCGGCCAGCTGAGGATACCTGTCTTCTTCAGGACTGGCCCCTCCTCGATCTTACCCTCACAGAACTGTGAAAGAAGAGTGGACTTTGAGCACAAGACCTGATCCTAAGCTTAATCTGTGCTCATCGGCAACTCATTCTCTGGTGGATTGTTAAATCTCATTAAACATGTTTCTTCGTTTCTAAAATATACTTCATAAGTCCATTGAAAATTGAGAAATTCGGCATTTTATTAAACAAATGTGAAAACTATGTAAGATTTGTACACAGTAAATATTTGCAGTAGGATTTTCCCTCTTTCCTCTGGGCTCCCTGTAGCCACAGGAATCACTCATCCTGAATTTTATACATCAGTCTTTGTGGGGATGATCAGGTGCTGAGGATGTAACCCAGGGCCTGGTACGTGCTAAGCAAGTGCTCTTCCACTGAGCTATATCCCCAGCCCTACAGAATAGCCTTGATTCAAAATAATCTACCCTAGTCTTCCCAATGCCTCATGCCTACTTGTGGGAGCAAGTGCCCAAAATGTTGCTTTGGTTTAGATTTATGAAGTACAGAACTAATGTCAGTGGCATATGCTTGTAATCCCAACAACTCTGGAGACTGAGGCAGAAGGACCACAAGTTGAAGGCCAGACTCAGGAACTTAGCGGGGTCCTGAACAACTAGTGAGACTATCTCAAAATAAATAAATAATAGGATGGGGATGTAGCTTAATGGTAAAGCCCTGGCTGGATTCAATCTCCGGTTTAAAAAAAAAATTACAGAACTAACTTATCTCTACCCCCTATTCCTTCATCTATGCTACAAATATTCATTAAATATATACATACTATTTACCAGGCATTGTGCAAGATGCTAGGAACAAAATGCTTTATAGACCCTCTCCCTGCCCTCATGTGGCTGTCATACTAATGGAAGAGACAGACTGTGGACAGCCCACCATTTTTAAGACAGGTATGTGCTGGTGGTTAGGGCAACATATTGGAGGAGCCCTTTCCTTTTAGCATCTCTCTGAGAAAGTATATTTGGTAAAGCTCCTTGATGTCAATTCTAATTAAGCATCTAAAAGAGATGTTAGGGTTGCTTTTAGAAATGAAAAGCAACAGAACTAGGTTTTTTGTTGAACCAATCTATTTTGCAGATGAAGTTCAGAGAGGGTACAAGACATCCTCAAGGTCATATAGACAAACTTAATATCTCTCAGGAGCTTGGGAGGTCCCTAGTTTGCACCTTTGGAAGTAAAATTTAGGAATGGTGACTGTGTTGGTTGGTAACTGGAGCAGAGTTGTATAGGTAGCTGAATGGCAGACATCTTTATGCTAGGAAAAGATCCTGCTTGACCTGGGAAATATGCGCCAGTATTACTCAAAAGATCCCTGGGTGTGAATTCTGGCAGATTTATTTGCTGGGTTTTAGGGAGTGTGTATGTGTTGGGTATGGGGGCTAGCAGAACTGCAGATTGCTTCAGCAATGAGAATGCAGAGAAACTGGGACATTTGGGACACTGAAGGGAGCTCTCTAGCCTCAGGAGAGGAATGGCAGGATGGACACGGAGGTGAGAACAAGGAAAATTTTAAGAGCCATGGGGGCTCTAATGAGTCTCTTGATAGGGGGGAGAGAGCACAATTGATTCCTCCCTCTTTTCCTCTGTGCACCTTGGGCAGCATTCAGCGAACTCTCCCCAGCCTGGCACGGAGGATCTTTTAGAAGAAGCCAGTCATAAGAAGGGCGAAGATATTGTTCATCACTGTCATTTCCACCGACTCTGAGATGAAGCTCTCAGGGAGAAGTGGAAAGAGCGGCTGGGAACCAGCCTCTGAGCTGTAGCCAGCAGAGGAGACCGGGGCAGGGCGCCAGGGAGAGAAAACCCCCGGGGCGGAGTAGTCTCTAGGGCTGACCTCAGGGCCCGGGTACAGGAGAGTCTGTGCTGCACTGAAGGCAGGACCACATAAACGAGGCGCACTTGAGCCTCGGAGGGCTTCGCTGCTAATCAGTCGCGTTTATCAGCTCCCTCAGGCGCAGGGCACTACTAGGGCATTGCCCAGAGATACGACACCCGCCCAGACCAGCGCAAGGAGGCGAAAGCGACAGCCGGCCGAAAGGGGCCGGGACAGCAGTGTCGCGGCTCCGGTGGCCCGAGAGCGAGCTGGGAGGGGGGGGGGGCTAGCGAGCGGGCGGAAGGGCCGAGGCCGGGTGGGCGGGGCCGGGGCCGGAGCGCGCAGCTCAGGGGTGGAGGCTGCAACGCCAGCGAGCGAGCCAGCGAGGGGCGGGGGCGCAGAGGGGCGGGGGCGGGGGTAACGGGGAGGGGGGCTCCGGCTGCGTGTGCCGGAGCCGGCGGGGGCGGCGGTGCGTGCGCATGACGCGGGGGGAGGGCCCCGGCCGCGCGCTCCCGGTCCCGTTGTTGTTGCCGCTGGAGGCTGCTCCGAGGCAGCGGGATCGCGGCGCCGAGAAGCTCCCGGCGGCGGCCACAGCGTGTGCGGAGGTGCCTCCTGGCCTCGGCCCCCGGTCTCCGGCCCCATGCACTAGTCCCGCGCCGCTCGCTCCGTAGTCCCGGCCTGGCCAGCCCCGCGCGCCCGCTAGCCGCCGCCGCCGCGCCGCCCCGGGCCCCGGTCGGGCCCGCCTCGGGCCCCGCGGCTCCGGTGCCATGAACTTCCAGGCGGGCGGGGGGCAGAGCCCTCAGCAGCAGCAGAGCTTGGCGGCTCCGGGGGCCGGCGGCGGCGGCGGCGGCGCGGGGGGCGGCGGGCAGTTCGGCGGCGCGGGGCCCGGGGCCGGGGGCGGCGGCCCCTCGCAGCAGCTGGCCGGTGGGCCCCCCCAGCAGTTCGCGCTCTCCAACTCGGCGGCCATCCGGGCCGAGATCCAGCGCTTCGAGTCGGTCCATCCTAACATCTACGCCATCTATGATCTGATCGAGCGCATCGAGGATTTGGCGCTGCAGAACCAGATCCGGGAGCACGTCATCTCCATCGAGGGTGAGCAGAGCCGGGGGCTGCGGGAGCCTGAGTGTGCTGGCCCCTCCATCCCCGGCCCGGGGTTCCATGGGCCCAGACCCACCCAGCTTTCACCCTCAGGGGTCCTTACGCGCCCGAGGTCTGGGCCACGCGGTTTGCTGATCTGCTCTGTAGAGTCCAGGTTCAGGCTTTGGCATATCTCGTCCAGGGACACTTTGGGATTTGGGGATCGGTAACGAGCCAGGGGACACGTTTTCCTTTCATTGTGCTCCAGGGTGGTGTCGCCCCGGGGACGAGTGCGCTCGGAGTTGCGGGGTGGGGAATGGGGGCTGGGCCCAGATCTGGTCAGGCATGGCCAGGAAGGGTGGACGCGACGGATAGCCTCCGCGGGCTGAGAGGTGGGGCCGAGACTCTGAAGGCTTCTTAGCTGCTTCCTGGGCCCTTCCCAGCGATGGGGCTGGGGTTCGGAGCCTCTCCTTAGTGGGTGGCAGCTTTCCCGGGCCCAGCGCCCGCTGGCCTAGGAGGGTGGCGCTCGCCGAGGCTCCCTCTCCCGACTCACACCCCCAATGCCGCCGCGGCCTGGCGGGCGCGGGCCAAGCCTGGCGCGGGGCTGGAGCGCCGCGATCGCGTGGGAGGCGTCGGCTGGTCCCTTGGCAGCTTGGTCGGGTCCCGACCGCGCTGGGCAACCGCGCCTGCTTACTCTGAAGGCTTGCTGGAGGCTGGCGGGCGCCGACTGACCTCCAGGGACGCTGCGCCTGGCGTCAGGGACCGGAAACCCCAGGCTACTGCGCTTCCCAGTTTTCTTTTCTGTGGGCTCTTGAGTCCTGGACTTGTGGCTGCTGAGGGGCACAGTAAGCCGGGGCACGCTGCTGGCAGATGCCCGACTGCCTCTGAAGTAGTGGGAGCCTGCTGTACCTACAGGCACCCCAGTGGCATGGTGACCTTCCAGCAAGCTTGGGCAGATGGCCCTCACCCTTGGCCATCTGCTTCCTTCTCTCACTGTTTGAAGGGAGACGCCCACCAGCAGGTGGTGGGTCTGGCCTTAGTGGTAATGCAGGGAGAGTTAAGGCCAGTTGCTGATGACGTGGAGTGGACAGGGGCCTGTCCACTACTTGGTCCTTACAGTTAGGGTTACATTCCTATCTTCATCCCCTTGTGTGAGGCTCTTGGGGCTCCTGCACCTGAACACCCCCTTTCTGTTTTTAGCCTCCCTGTAACTGGGGAAGGAATATTGGGTTCCTTGGGAGTAGAAGGCCCCATTTAGAACTCGGGGCCTGCCCTCTTATTGTAACATTCCAATCTGACTTCCTTCTGTCCTTTTCCCAACCTGCTCTCATCTCCTCTCTCTCAAGGCTAAGTTCACTCTGAACTAATTAGGTGACTGAAAAAACTCATTAACATGGATCTGAGTAAATGGCCTGAATCATCATTGTGGCTGGGGACCAGGGGATGGCATTTGTGTGAGCCCAGGGCCCCAAACAGAGGAGATGTACTTTTTTTCCCCCTAGATCTGAAGGTGGTGGGGTAGGGAAAAACCTTCCCTGAGCTTCAATGTCACCTGGAGGAAATATGAAGTTCTTGATTAACTCCAAGGTGAACTCCCCAGCCCTTTAGAGAGGTGAAGATATTTGGTGGACAGTCACAGAATGCGGGAGACTCTTCTGTGCTGTGAAGGCTATGATTCTGGGATACACTTGGGTTTTTTATTTTAAATTCATCATAACAGGCAGAATTTCCCCTCCCTCTTGACCAACTTCCCCATTGTGGTTTGGAAATACCCCACTGTTCCATCTGCTTAGCCTGGAAGTTTGGTATTGCTATCATGAAATCCTGGGACTTGATGTCTCACTGTCACCAGACCAGTCCAGTTGCTCCTCACCCATCTGTCCTTAGCTCTCTGCCATCCCTTCCCCATCCCTGCTGCCCTGCTCTCTGGGGAGGCCTCCTGGCTCCTTCCCCCTTCTCCTCCTTCCCAACCTCTCTCTTGGAATCTGTCTTTGTTACCCCCACCCCTGCTGGCTTTCTCACTTCTGTCGCCCCAGCTTTTCTGCTGTAGGCAGACTTCAAAAAAATCCAGACTCCTTCTCCCATTTCGGCCCTGTATGCTTCCTGCTGTAGAGCTCTCCATCTGCCAAACCATATTGCTTCTGTCCTGCAAGGCAGTGTCCCCACCTTCCAAGGTGGAGGGAAACAGCAACTTCTTGGGTGTGTCAGGAAAGAGCCCCCTGTGGGCTGAGCAGACTTGGGCTGTTACATAAACAGAGCCTCCCAGGAGCCTGTGCTTCCAGGGAGGGAACCTCTTTGTGGAAAGGGGCAATATTTCAGAGCCCAAGAAACCCTCTTGTTTTGGCCAGTGCTTTGGTGGAGGGTTTTTGTTTTGTGGTGCTGGGGGTTGAATCCAGGGCCTTATGCATGTGAGGGGAGCACTCTACCAATTGAGCTCTATCCCCAGCCCGTTGGTGGAGGGTTTATTTGTCGCAGCTCTGAAAGTGACAGAACCATTTGGCACTGAGGAAGCTCCATGAGCATCTGATCTTCTGGCCTCTCTCGGTTCTCTCAGCCACCCGGTCCTGTGTCCAGGGCTGGAGGAAGCAGGGGACTGTTAGGTTTTCCTGTGTTGCAGGACAGGATTTGGGGGAAGGGGGCAGATTATTTTGCGAAGTTCCTTTCCTACTAAAGGCCAAGGCTAGAGAAAACTTGTCCATCACTTTGTCTCCGAGAAAACAAGAGAAGTGCCTCCCTGAGCCTGCATGGGGCCTGGAAGGCACACCATACACAGGACCTGTGAGCCACCTCACCTCCTGGGGCAGGAAGAAGGGGACTAGGAAAAGGAAGGAGAGGAAGCTGATAGGACTGGGGAAAGGTGGTGCCTGGCTCTCCCTCTGCACTGCTCACTCCCAGGGAAGAGGGTGGTCCTCTGACTCGCGTTGATCTCTTAGAAAGAGGGATGCAGGAGAACCAGGGTCAAAATCCAAATGAGGGACACCAGGCCAAGCCAGCCAGGATCCAGGAGAAGCCGTTGGGAGAAGCAGCCTTGGTGGGGCAGGGTGGGGGGGATGTCCTGGCAGGTGGCCTGGAAAGGCCTGCTGGCCCCTGAGCAGGTGTGCCTGGGGAGTGCTGCTCCCTGGGGATGGCGTGGGCAGGCAGGACTCTGGGCCTGGAAGTGGACCATGACTACGTGTGTGTGCGCCATATGGCTACTATTGTGTGTGCAGGAACTGGGCTTTGTCAGCTAGATGACTTGTTCAGTTTCCCCTTTGTTTTCCCATAGAGTTCGTGGTTTTTTTTTAGAATGGAGTTCCTTTGAGCATTCCAGTTGGCCTGGTTGGGCTCTTCTCACCCTTGCCCGCTCACTCCTGAAGTTCCCAGTTTGCCCGCCTACCCTGGTTGTGGGTGCAGTGACATCCTAGAGACAGTAAGGTGAAGAAATGTGGATTTCTTCCTGTTTGGTTCAAGCCTAGGCTAAGCAGAGAAGGAGCACCAGCTGGGGTTAGGTATGTTGGGGAAGCTCAGAGGGACCTTACTGGAGGGTCCCAGTCTCAGCATCCACACCCTTCCTGGTGGGGCTCCCTCAGGCCTGTCTGTCCCACGTAGGGTATTATAGTGGGCCCTGTGTTTCCCAAGACAACCTTGTGATGGGGAAAGGATAGGAATGATGATTCTGTTTGGAGACTGGAAGCTCTCCTGAACCAGTTTGCCTTGCTTCCTGTTCTGGGGGTGGTCTCCACCCTGGCCGTGACTTTCACTGTAGGACCTGCTGACCTGGGCATTACTCAGGCCAGGCTCCCTAAAGGCCTCCTATTGGAGCAGTCTGGAATGGGCCAGATCCATTTCTTTCTCTGTCACTCTCTTGGTCATTTGGGCAGTTGGCTGCTTTAGGAATGAAATAGCCACTTCAGGAGTGGCTACTTATGTAGGACTTTGCACACCAGGGTTCTAGGAATTCTGCAAAAGGGAATACTCATGTGGGTGCTGGTAGGCAGGGAAGCTGTGTTTGTTCCAGATCCATTTATGTAGCTCCTACTGTGTGGCCCAGTTGCATCTGGCACCTCAGAAAGCAGGAGAACAAAGGGGAGGATGGGGGAGAGGATACAGGAAGTGCTGGGCTTGGCTGCCCTGGGGAGAAAGGCTCAGCAGCAGCAGAGGTCAGAAGGCACTGGGAGTGGTAGCAATAAAGCCCAGATTTTCAGAAAACCAGGGCAAAGCTCAGAGACCTGGGGAGACTCATCATGTTCCCTGCCCTCAAGGTCAGAAGGGGGGGCCTGGAAAGCTACCCCAGCCTTATCATAGGCTGCATGACCTCAAGGTCAGCCAGGTGGAAAACTTCCCTCATTCCACTCAATCCATGGCCTCTGACCCAGGATACCTTACCAACAAAACAGCCCTTCCTCCTAAGTACCACATGTCGTCTTCTAGAATCATCTATAGATTTCTTCTTTCCTCAGATGATTGCCAGGCCTAGAGCGGCTGGGGCCTGAAGGCACATAGAGGTATTCAAGGCACAGCAAGGTGGTAGTGAACATGGTGGATTCTGTGTGTGTATCTGTAGGGGACAGGTGGGTCAGACAGGCAGGACTCTGGGGAAGGAATTATTAATGCTTCCTCCTCTATTTTTTTCCACCTTCCCATGTTCTAAGAAAACATTGGGGGGGGGGGGCTGGTGCTTCTCCTTGCAGGACACAGGGTATTCTGGGAAGGTCCAGACAGGAGTGGGGGATGGGGTGCATGTAAGTGGGCTCGCCCTGACTGTGCCCACACTGTGCATTTGTACCTGTGAGCCCTCTGCCAGCTGTCTTCACACCGTTGGCACAGACAAGGAGGGAGCTCTGCTCTGCCTTTTTTTGGAAAGCAGGCTTCGGTTGAGAGTACTAAGGTTTGGGGCAAACCCCTTCAACTCCCAATGGCACTGTGTGAACATTGACCCAAGTTGCTGCATTCACTTTGTACTACACAGGTAACTTGAAGTTAGTTTAATCCGATTGTTTCCTTCTGCCTCCCCGCTGCACTCCACTGCACAGGCC